AGGTAAGATAGGTAAGATAGGTTAAGTTAGGAAAGGTAGGTAAGGTAAGGTAACATAGGTAAAGTTAGGTTAGGTTAGGTAAGATAGGTAAGGTAAGGTAAAGGTAAAGTTAGGTTATGCAGGTTAAGTTAGGTAAGATAGGTAAAGTTAGGTAAGATAGGTAAGGTAAGGTAAGTTATGTTAGGATAGGTAAAGCTAGGTTTAGGAACGTTACGTTAACTAAGTAACATTGGGTGGAGAGGATAGGTTACGTAGGTTTGAACAGTGTAGTTCAGAGAACAGTTTTAGGGTAAAGCAACTAAGAAAATATGTTTTAACAGAAATGCAGGTTTGGTATGAAAAGCTGAACTAGTTACATTTTGGAGAGAAATTTTATGACTGAAGATGTCTTAAAGAATAACATGATGGAAGAAGGAGAGTTTCTTTGATGAACGAAGGTGTCTTAGAGAACAACTTTGGGAGAACGAAGGTGAATTAGAGATCACTTTGATGACTCTGAGAATAACTTTTATGTCTTAGAGAACAACTTTGGTAGCTCTGAGAAAGACTTTGTTGTCTTAGAGAAAAACTTTAGATGTCTCTGAGAATAACTTTTATGAACGAAGATGTCTGAGATTAACTTTGACGTCTCTTGGAATAACTTTTGTGGACATGAGAATATCTTTGGATAACTCTGAGATTAACTTTGATAGCTCTGGGAATAACTTTTATGATTTGAGAATATCTTTGATGTCTTGGAGAACAACATTGATGTTTAGAGAACAACTTTGATGACCAAGATTAACTTTAGATGTCTCTGAGAATAACTTTTATAACATAGAAATTAACTTTAGATGTCTCTGAAAATATCTTTGATGACTTCGAGAATAACATTTGATGACTCTGAGAACAAGTTTGATAGCTCTGAGAATAACTTTAGATGTCTCTGAAAATAACTTTGATGAAAGAAGATGTCTTAGATTAACTTTTGATGACTTTGAAAACGAGTTTGATGAACAAAGATGTTTTGAAAGTTTCTCTGACGAACGAAGGTGACTCTGAGAATAGCTTTGGGTAGCTCTGAGAATAACTTTTGTTGTCTTAGAATAACTTTTGATTGTTCTGAGAATAACTTTAGATATCTCTGAGAATAAGTTTGATGAACGAAGATATCTTACAGAGCAAATTTTATGTTTCGAAGAATAACTTTTGATGACTGGGAATGACTTTGTTGTCTTAGAGAATAACTTTGAGGGCTTAGAGAATGTCTTTGATGAATGGAAGGTTACTTAGAGAATAACATATCATGACTGAGAATAACTTTTGATAACTCTTAGAATAACTTTGATGTCTTAGAGAATAACTTTAGATGACTTTGAGAATGTCTTTGGATAACTCTGAGATTAACTTTGATGTCTTTGAAACCACTTTGATGAATTGGAGAATGTCTTTGAGAACATGAGTAGTATTTTGTTAGCTCAGAGAATAACTTTTTGATGACATAGAGAATAACTTTATGTATTAGAGAAGAACATTGATGGCTTAGAGAATGACTTCTGAGAACATGGGTAGTATTTGAATGCGTCTTTGATGTAATGAAAAGTAACTTTGATGTCTCGAAGATATCTTGCAGATTAACTTTGATGACAGAGATTAACTTTTGTTGTTGTTTTAGAGATTAATTTTGATAGCTCCAAGAATAACGTTTATGCCTCTGAGATTAACTTTAATGAACGAAGATGTCTTAGAAAGTTTCTCTGATGAACGAAAGGCTACTTAGAGAATAGCATTTTGATGACTGAGATTAACTTTTTGATGACTCTGAGAATAACTTTGAGGATGCGAGTAAATTTGAGTGTTTGAGAGTGTCTTTTGATATCTCGAAGAGTGCCCTTGAAGTCTTAAAGGATGTCTTTGATGTCTCGAAGGATGTCTTAGAGTGTAACTTTGGTGTCTTTGAGTAAGTCCTTAATGTATTGAAGAGTGTCTTTGATTTCTCGAAGAGTAACTTTGGTGTAACGGAGAGCACCTTTGACTATTTTTCTTACTTAGCGACATATAATTTTAGTTACGAAAGTGTTGAAAAAGTTACATTTGACTCTTTTAGTTGAGGAAAAAGACAAAATATGACGACAGTGACTATTTTTTAGTGCTCCACAAAGTATAATGCCAGTTAAGAACGACGATGATAGATATCTTTGACTATATTTTCTTACTTGACTATGGATAAAGTTAGTTATGAACAGTGCTGAAAAGATTCCTTTGACAATTTTTAGCTAAGCGAAAGGCTGTTTTAGTTAAGAACGGTGTTGAATGAGGTTAATCCTGACTATTTTCAGATGAGAGAAGTGATATTTCAGTTAAGAAATGACAAGGAAACATGATGAAGTAACTATTTTTAGTTGACCGATGAATACTTTTAGTTGAGCAAAAGCCAAAACATGATGAACATGACTTTTTCTGATGATTGGCCGATAATTTTAGTTATGAAATGACAATGAAACATGAAGAACACGGTTATTTTCTGATGACTGGGGAATAAGTTTAGTTAAGAACAGTGCTGGAAAGATTCCTTTGACAATTTTTCTTACTTAGCGACATATAATTTTAGTTACGAAAGTGTTGAAAAAGTTACATTTGACTATTTTTTTAGTGCTCTACAAAGTATAAATGTCAGTTAAGAACAACGATGATAGATATGTTTGACTATATTTTCTTTCTTGATGAAAACATAATGGCTGTTACGAAATGATGAATATGACTTTTTCTGTTGATTGATGGATAATTTTAGTTATGAAATGACAATGAAACATGAAGAACACGGTTATTTTCTGATGACTAGGGAATAAGTTTAGTTATGGACAGTGTTGGAAAGATTCCTTTGACAATTTTTAGTTGACTGGATAATAAGTTTAGTTGAGAAATGACGAAAGTGACTATGTTTTAGTTGATTGGCGAAAGATTTTTTTTTAGTTAAGGAACGTTAAATAACATGTAAGGGGAAAACCTAGAGAACATATGGGGAACATGGTAAAGAACACATGTAAGAAAAGTTGATGAATACAGTGAACATGCTGGGAATATGAACTTACAGAGAACATGAAAACATGATAAGGAGAATAGGGAATACAAAGAATGAACAATGGACTTGTGAAGAACATGGAGAATATGACAAAGAATGTAGAAAACATGTAAGTGAAGGTGAAAAAACGAAGTGATCTTGTGAGGAATATGAACTTGTAGAGGAACATGAATATTGCAAAGAACACAAAATATGGAAGTTAGCATGAATATTGAGTATAAAAGTTGTAAAGAGAACATGTGATGAATATGAAAACATAGAAAATATGACTAGAATTTGTAGAGAACATAATGAGACTAAGAGAAAGATTACATAAAAAATGGAGATACTTGTGAAAATATGAACTGAATGGGACTGTGAACATTTGAAGAACATGGAGTGAACACGGATGAGAATACGAAGAACACAGTGAATATAGAGAAAATATGCAAATACAGTATGATTATTGAAGGTTTTGATACGTTGGGGATGAGAAGGTAAGGGAGGGAAAGGGTAAGAGTTAAGCTGGAGACGGACTTGATCGAAAATATTTATGTCTGATGATCTAAGGCTGAGGGAATGGAACTTGGTTAATGCCCTGATTAATTTTACTACGTTAGAAAATAAGGTGATCTTAAATCTTAGGATGATTTAGTTGGAAATAAAGAACTTGCACAAATGAACTAAGCTGGGGCACAAGAGTTGAAACTTGATAACTGAACTGGTTTTTATTTACTATGTCTGAAAATGTAGTTGGGTGATTTGGACTGAGAGTAATGATTTTACAAAAGTGAGCTTGGACAGAGGACAAGAGCTAGAGTTTTATAATTGTTTACTTCATATTTACTATGTCTGAAATACAGAGGGTAAAAATTTCAGGGAAATTGATGGTTTATTTACAAAGATATGAAAGAGAACTAAGGCGGGGACGAGAGCTGGAGCTCAGTAACTGACTTGATCTTATTTACTAACTTTGAAGTATGTCTGCTTTTAATTTTAGGGAAATTGATGGGTTATTTACAAAGATACGAAAGAGAATTAAGGCGGAGGACAAGAGCTGGAGCTTGGTAACTGTTTTGATCTTATTTATGGTGTCTGAAATACAGAGGCTAAAAATCTCAGGGAATTTGGACTGTTACTAATGATTTTGTACAAATGAACTAAGCTGGGGACAAGAGCTAGAGTTTGATAATTGTTTGCATTTACTAAACTATGTCTGAAATACAGAGGGTAGAAATTTCAGGGAAATTGGACTGATACTAACGAAGATACGAGAGAGAGCTAAGGCGGAGGACAAGCGCTGGAGCTTGGTAACTAAATTACTGTATTGAACTACATTTGAAATATGATTATTTTTAAATTTTAGAGGGATTGGAATGATAGTATTCTTTATACGACAGGGGACTAAGGTGGGGAACGTGAGCTAGAACTTGCTTACTAACATGATTTATTTGTGTAAAACTGACTTGCTTAATGAAAAGGAGCAAACATACTGACTTGCTTAATGAAAAGGAGCAAAAATACGATGTTGGAAAATAGTTGAACTGAATGAAAGGAGAGAGAGAGAGAGAGGAGGGACGGTCCAGATATTATGAGAGATAAGATAAGATAAGAGGTCTGGCTGGCTGGGCGTAAAGTAAACACAGGTGAGGCGACAGATTGCGAGGTAAGGGGGGAGGGAGGGGGGTGTGATGTACGAAACCCTGAAAACAATGACTTACACAGGTGATTTTCTAAATTTACCTTGGGGCGCACAGGGGATATTGGAACCTGAAACCCTTGGGGCGCACAGACGATATTTGACCTGAAACCCTTGGGGCGCACAGGGGATATTCTAAATTTACCTGAAACCCTTGGGGCGCACAGGGGATATTCTAAATTTACCTGAAACCCTTGGGGCGCACAGGTACCTTTTTTCTCCCAGAAAAAAAGGTACCTGTGAGGCGCCTTCCCTACTACTGCCTCCCCTGGCAGGAGCTACGCTGATGGGGTGTTCTCCCCTCAGGTGAGTTTACCTTCAGGTGAGTTTACCCTAATGTGAGTTTACATTCAGGCGAGTTTACCCTAAATTGAGTTTACATTCAAGTTAGTTTACCTTAAGGTGTGTTTACATTGAGACGGGTTTACCTTCTCGCGAGTTTACCCTAACTTGAGTTTACATTCAAGCTAGTTTACCTTAAGGTGTGTTTACATTCAGACTGGTTTACCTTCGCGCGAGTTTACCATAAGATGAGTTTACCTTCAGGTGTGTTTACCCTAATGCGAGTTTACCTTCAGGTGAGTTTACCATAAGGTGAGTTTACCGTAATGTGAATTTACCTTCAGGAGAGTATACCTTCAGGTGAGTCTATCTTCAGGTGAGTTTACCTTCAAGTGACTCTACCTTGAAGTGAGTTTACCTTCAGATGAATCTACCTTCAGATGAATCTACCTTCAGGTGAGTTTACCTTCAGGTGAGTCTACCTTCAGGTGAGTTTACCCTCAGGTGAGTCTACCTTTAGGTGAGTCTACCTTTAGGTGAGTCTACCTTCAGGTGAGTTTATCTTCAGGTGAGTCTACCTTCACCTGAGTCTACCCTCACCTGAGTCTACCACCACCTGAGTCTACCCTCAGGTAATTAACATAATAACAATTAATTACTGTATAATTACAATTATTATTATTATTTCAGGAATTTTCACTATCACCATTAATGACAGTGATGAATAGTGACTAACTCCCTAAACCCCTTAATCTTCAGTAAATAATAGTGTCACCATCTACCCACCAGTGGAACGTGCTATTCTACGTGGTGGAGGATGTGGAGCCAGTGAGTGGAGAGGTGGAGTACCGGATAGTGACAGTGGATGGTGAGACAGGGGAAGAGGCAGTGGTTGTCTCTCATGCTAATTTCTTCGCCTCTCCCAGGGTCTCCGAGGATGGCCAGTTTCTGGTTTGGTTACAGTGGAACCACCCCAGGATGGTGAGTGATGGTGATAGTGGTGGGGGGGGGGGATGGTGAGGGGTGGTGATAGTGGTGGGGGGTAAATGGTGAGGAGTGAGAGACAGTGAAGTGTGCATGGTGAGGGGTGAGGGACAGTGACGTGTGGATGGTGAGGGGTGGTGATAGTGACTATTTACACTCATCCTGGCTTTATTTACACTAATCCTGGCCCTATTTACACTCATCCTGGCTCTATTTACACTCATCCTGGCTCTATTTACACTCATCCTGGCTCTATTTACACTCATCCTGGCCCTATTTACACTTATCCTCACCATATTTACACTCATCCTCACCATATTTACACTCATCCTGGCCCTATTTACACTCATCCTGGCCCTATTTACACTCATCCTGGCCCTATTTACACTCATCCTGGCTCTATTTACACTCATCCTGGCCCTATTTACACTCATCCTCACCATATTTACACTCATCCTGGCCCTATTTACACTCATCCTCACCATATTTACACTCATCCTGGCCCTGTTTACACTCATCCTGGCCCTATTTACAGCCGTGGGATGAGACGAAGATGTTCGTGGGGGAAATCAAGAACAAACGCGGCAAAGTTGCCATAACCAAGTTCTTTCAACACGGCAGGTAAACAGGTGTTCAACAGGTGTTGTAACAGGTGTGTAACAGGTGTTGTAGCAGGTGTTGTAGCAGGTGTGTAACAGGTGTTGTAACAGGTGTGTTTGACAGGTGTGTAACAGGTGGTGTGACAGGTGTGGTAACAGGTATGTTTGACAGGTGTGTAACAGGTGGTGTGACAGGTGTGGTAACAGGTATGTTTGACAGGTGTGTAACAGGTGGTGTGACAGGTGTGGTAACAGGTATGTTTGACAGGTGTGTAACAGGTGGTGTGACAGGTGTGGTAACAGGTATGTTTGACAGGTGTGTAACAGGTGGTGTGACAGGTGTGGTAACAGGTATGTTTGACAGGTGTGTAACAGGTGTTGTAACAAGTGTTTTTGACAGGTGTGTAACAGGTGAAAGTGTTGCAGATGTGTTGCATAATGAATACAATGACAATAACAAATAAATAAAGCAAAAACAATCTTATATATAAACTAACCCATGACATATATATATATATATATATATATATATATATATATATATATATATATATATATATATATCTGGTTCCCTTCACAAACCCTAATTAGGGGTGACTATTATAAGGTCATTAAGGTCACAAACACTTGACTAACGAGCGTTGACCTTTCTACCCACACCTGGCAGCATGATGATGCCCTCGTTCGACCCCAACAACGAGCTCTACTACGTGCATGACACAACAGGCTGGTGGAACCTGTACCGGGTCACCAGACGAGGCTTTGAGATCAACGTGACGCCTGAATCACAGGAGGTTGGCTGGCCCATGTGGAAGTATGTATAGTGTATACATTTATACACATAATTCGGTCTCATATACATAGCCTGTCCCTCATACACACAGCCCGATGTATATATATATCGACGGACTACGTTAAAATTCCAACCTAATTCACCCGTCAGAGTAAAACACGAATGTTCCAGAAGCTCCACTCCCAGATACATCACGCTATTGTGAATGCATTATGCATTAGCCTAAATACAAAAGATACATTGGAACTTACAAAATTGTTTTCTAGTTAAACTAGAGAGAACTCGAGAAGTTATCTATTTTCTCCTTGTGGTCAGGTTGGGACGGAAGGCGTATGATGTTAACCCAAGTCTTGGCGCCAGTGAAGCTGTTGTCATCTGTGGCCACGTGAGTACTGGTGCTACTGTGAGGGTACTGTGAGGGTACTGGGGGTACTGTGAGGGGTAATGGGGGTACTGTGAGGGTACTGTGAGGGTACTGGGGGTACTGTGAGGGTACTGGGGGTACTGTGAGGGGTAATGGGGGTACTGTGAGGGTACTGTGAGGGTACTGGGGGTACTGTGAGGGGTACTGGGGGTACTGTGAGGGGTACTGGTGCTACTGTGAGGGTACTGGGGGTACTGTGAGGGGTAATGGGGATACTGTGATGGTACTGTGAGGGTACTGTGAGGGTACTGGTGCTACTGTGAGGGGTACTGGGGGTACTGTGAGGGTACTGGTGCTACTGTGAGGGTACTGGGGGTACTGTGAGGGGTACTGGGGTACTGTGAGGTGTACTGGGGGTACTGTGAGGGTACTGGGGGTACTGTGAGGGTACTGGGGGTACTGTGAGGGTACTGGTGGTACTGTGAGGGTACTGGTGGTACTGTGAGGGTACTGGTGGTACTGTGAGGGTACTGGTGGTACTGTGAGGTGTACTGGGGGTACTGTGAGGGGTACTGGTGCTACTGTGAGGGTACTGGGGGTACTGTGAGGGTACTGGTGCTACTGTGAGGGGTACTGGTGGTACTGTGAGGGGTACTGGTGGTACTGTGAGGGTACTGGTGTTACTGTGAGGGTACTGGTGTTACTGTGAGGGGTACTGGTGCTACTGTGAGGGTACTGGTGGTACTGTGAGGGGTACTGGTGGTACTGTGAGGGTACTGGTGGTACTGTGAGGGGTACTGGTGCTACTGTGAGGGTACTGGTGGTACTGTGAGGGTACTGGTGGTACTGTGAGGGGTACTGGTGGTACTGTGAGGGTACTGGGGGTACTGTGAGGGTACTGGTGCTACTGTGAGGGTACTGGTGGTACTGTGAGGGTACTGGGGGTACTGTGAGGTATACTGGTGGTACTGTGAGGGTACTGGTGGTACTGTGAGGGGTACTGGTGGTACTGCGAGGGTACTGGTGGTACTGTGAGGGTACTGGTGTTACTGTGAGGGTACTGGGGGTACTGTGAGGGGTACTGTGAGGTGTACTGGTGGTACTGTGAGGGTACTGGTGCTACTGTGAGGGTACTGGTGGTACTGTGAGGTGTACTGGTGTTACTGTGAGGGTACTGGTGCTACTGTGAGGGGTACTGGTGCTACTGGTGTTTTTCGCCTCTTTAATACCTTTCCTGACTTCGATGTTCTCCTTCGGCAGGACCTGACGGTGGTGGACCTGAGGAGAGGGACTCGAAGTGTACTGAAGACCGGGTATACCAGCTACACCCTGGGTGTGGTCTACTCCAGGGACGGTAGCAAGGTAGGGACACACCTTCAGGGGAGGGGGGGTGTATATACAGAGAGGTGTACCCTATGACCTTTGCCCTAATATGACCTTTGACCTGGCTTCAGGTGTACGTGGTGGCGGGTGATGGAGTTCGCTATCCCGCCCTGGTGGAGGTGGATATCAGGTCAGGTGAAGCCCGCCCGGTGACAGGTGGATCAGACGTCAAGGTCCTTCAGGCTTCAGGTGGATCAGAGGTCACGATGGTTGAGGCTCCAGGTGGATCACAGGTTCAGGTGGATGGTGGATACCTCAGCACCGCCAGGCCCATCCAGTTCCCAACCAGCCAAGGTGACTTCGCCTATGGCTATCTCTACATGCCCAAGGTTGGTCAGATAATCTCTTGGAGCAGGACGGTGGGATCGAACTTGCGTCTTGGATCACCTCCGAAGATGCTCGTCAGATCCCTTTGTCCTACCACAAACATTTTTCCAAAGATATTCCAGCTTATAACGCAGATAAACTAAGACATATCTAGATAAATTTGCAAGAAATGATTTATAGAAGTTTCCCCTTGCGTCTAGAGAGAATTGCGCGCGCTTCGAAGTCGAAGAATTCTTCGCTCCTTTCTCTTCGATGTCGTTTATCTTCTATTCTTCTCTCTCCTTCTGTTCCTGCTCTTCGTCACGGTCCTCAACACTACTTCTTCTTCCCCCAGAATAAGGACTACCACGCCCCCGTCGGTAGCAAGCCGCCCTTGCTGGTGAAGGTCCACGAAGGCCCAACCGGCGCGGCCTCCACCGCCCTCAGCCTGGAGTACCAGTATTTCACCTCTAGGGGCTACGCCCTCCTCGACGTTGACTACCGCGGCAGCACCGGTTATGGCAAGCTCTACAGGAACAAACTCAATGAGTTGTATGTTGATTGTTGGGCTCCGGCTCTGTCTGTCTGTCTGTCTGTCTGTCTGTCTGTCGAAATGATAGCTTGAGGCTTTCTACTGAAAGTTCCGTTCCCTTCTCTCTCTGTGTCTGTGTCTCTCTCTCTGTCTCTGTCTCTCTGTCTGTCTCTTTCTCTCTCTGTCTCTGTCTCTGTCTCTGTCTCTGTCTCTGTCTCTCTCTCTCTCTGTCTCTGTCTCTGTCTCTCTGTCTGTCTGTCTCTCTGTCTCTCTCTCTCTCTCTCTCTCTCTCTCTGTCTCTCTCTCTCTCTCTCTCTCTCTCTCTCTCTCTCTCTCTCTCTCTCTCTCTCTCTCTCTCTCTCTCTCTCTCTCTCTCTCTCTCTCTCTCTCTCTCTCTCTCTCTCTCTCTCTCTCTCTCTCTCTCTCTCTCTCTCTCTCCTCGTTCATCCCCTGGTTTGAACAATATGCTAATGACTCTACAAACAGCTCTGGACTCTATTGCATCAATATCATCCGCTTATTGATGTATCTTCGACATCATGTGGAGGCCATTGACTGACTTACTGAAGAAGTCACTGTAGACCTAATCCTCGTGATCAACACAACTGTTGTGGCTTGTGCAGGTCTATGTCTGTCGTACCTTGGGTTTCCTTGCTTGCATTAGGTTAGATTTCATGAGAATGAGTTGTTTCAAGCGTAGGTTAGACATGTATATGAATGAGTTTGGGTGTATATAATAATTATATATATGTAGAAACTGTCACATATGGGCTATAGTTGTTTTGTTGTTTCTCATGTTCTTAATTACTGTCAGGAAGGAGTTACATGTTGTGTTTGTTCAGTTACATGTTGTGTTTGTTCAATTGCTCACACGAGGGTTGCTCCTCAGCTCCTGGTCCTCAACCACTTGAGCTGGACGGTAGAACGACCGTCTCGCTTCATGCAGACCTATGTTCAATCCCGGACTGTCCTTAAGTGGTTGGGGCACCATTCCTTTCCTCCCCCCCTGTCCCATCCCCAATCCTGACCCCCCCTTCCCAGTGCTATATAGACGTAATGGCTTGACGCTTCCTCCTGATAATTCCCCTGTGACGTCTCGGTGCGTCAGGTGGGGCGTCTACGACGTGGACGACGTACTGGCCGGGGCTCGACACCTGGTGGAGGAGGGCCTCGTCGATCCGGATAGATTGTGTATCGACGGGGCGTCGACAGCAGCATATACCACACTATCGGCCCTCACCATCACCGACTCCCTCTTCAAGGCTGGTGAGACTTGCCTTTAAGGTAGGGGAAGGTAGGGGGAGGGAGGGAGGCAGGTAGAGGGAAGGGAAGAAGGCAGTTAGAGTCTGTGAAGGAAAAAGGTAAGAAAGACTTATTTTCTCCATCAATGGCAATCTATCGTCAACTCGGTTTTATCTATCGCAGGAGCGAGTTACTACGGGGTGTGGGACCCGGAGATGATGGCCAAGGATACAAGGAAGGTGATGAGGAACTACATGGAGGCTCTGATTGGTAACCTAGACAAACACAAGGACCGATATGTGACCAGATCGCCCATCAGGAACTACGAGAGGCTCCATGTTCCCACCATCTTCTTCCATGGGGAGGATGATCAGGTTAGTGGAGGGGTGTGTGTGTGTGTGTGTGTGTGTGTGTAATTACCTAAGTAATTACCTAAGTGTAGTTACAGGATGAGAGCTACGCTCGTGGTGTCCCGTCTTCCCAGCACTCTTTGTCATATAACGCTTTGACGTGTGTACTCACCTAATTGTGCTTGCGGGGGTTGAGCTCTGGCTCTTTGGTCCGGGTGTGTGTGTGTGTGTGTGTGTGTGTGTGTGTGTGTGTGTGTGTGTGTGTGTGTGTGTGTGTGTGTGTGTGTGTGTGTGTGTTAATTTATCTCTGTTTAAACCTAGCACTGTCACTACAACCATCCCTACATAACGACCACTATCTCAATCACCACTAATAACACCACCCATGCAACCATTCTTTCAAGACCAGTCACCACCACCACCACCACCTGCATCACCACAATCACCACGACCTACCAACAATAACTACCACCCACGTTGTTCAACAGGTAGTCCCCGCAAGTCAGGCCAGAGGCATGTACGAGTTATTGAAGAACAAAGGTCTTCCAACAGACCTTCTTCTCTTCCAAGGTCAGTAACTGAAAGATCTTCAAGGGTCAGTAACTGGAAGGTCTTCAAGGGTCAGTAACTGGAAGATCTTCCAGGGTCAGTAACTGGAAGATCTTCCAGGGTCAGTAACTGGAAGGTCTTCCAGGGTCAGTAACTGGAAGGTCTTCCAGGGTCAGTAACTGGAAGGTCTTCAAGGGTCAGTAACTGGAAGATCTTCCAGGGTCAGTAACTGGGAAGATCTTCCAGGGTCATTAACTGGAAGGTCTTCCAGGGTCATTAACTGGAAGGTCTTCCAGGGTCATTAACTGGAAGGTCTTCCATGGTCAGTAACTGGAAGGTCTTCCAGGGTCATTAACTGGAAGGTCTTCCAGGGTCATTAACTGGAAGGTCTTCCAGGGTCATTAACTGGAAGGTCTTCCATGGTCAGTAACTGGAAGGTCTTCAGGGTCAGTAACTGGAAGGTCTTCCAGGGTCAGTAACTGGGTAGATCTTCCAGGGTCAGTAACTGGAAGGTCTTCCAGGGTCAGTAACTGGGAAGGGTCAAGCCAGTTTTTTTTTATGCAGCCGAATAATCCAAATTCCAATATCATTGCTAAAATCCTCATTAATCTAGCATGTGTCTTTGTAATAAATGAAAAACATTATATACATTATTCATACTCTATGTTGACCTCAAAGACACATTAAGCATTCTTTACATTGTAATTAAAAATATTATTTTCTTATATATAAATATTACTAATATAATTTTGTCAATAGAAGGACATAGGTAAAGTTAGATTGGCAAGATTGTGTGTATTTGTGTTCGTATTTCTTGGGTGAATCATTATAGAGCAAGATTCGAACACTAAGTATTAGAGAGGAACGATTCGAACACTGGTACTGAGTGAAGCGCATTTCGATCAAATTTTGAACATTATCAGTTGTAAGTTAGCCCCTCCTCATCAAACAAAGGCCAAAGTCCATTCCATGCAGCCGCCAAACCCGTTGTTTATGATTGAAAAATGATTTACACACGACTCACAACTGAGGACGTTCGAACATTTTTCGAAGTGCTTCGCTGGCGTCCTCTCTTTGAACCACAACGCTGTGAATGCTTCATCCGCGTATTTCAGTAACCACCAAATGACCACAATACCAAACTGCCTTTCCTAACCTCTAACTACCCTCCCCCCCCCTCCCCCAAACTACCTTCAGTACCTAACTACCTCTCTCCCTCTTCTCACAGGCGAAGGTCACGGCTTCACGAAGACTGAGACGAAAATTAAGACTTTGGAGGCTGAATTCTGCTTCTTCGCCCAAGTCTTCAATCTCACGTCCTTAGACGTTCCTTGTAAGACAAACAAACAAACAATATATATATATATATATATATATATATATATATATATATATATATATATATATATATATAAGATAATGCCTTATAATTGTTGTGTTTATTATCTTATGTTATATTTATTGTTATCTAATCACTTGAATTGATATCATGATTATAAGTTATTTGTGTTCATTGATACACTTTTGTTCTTCACCAGTTGTATGATGGTGCTGATGTATGATTATACAACATTGCTATTTGTGTGTGTGTGTGTGTGTGTATGAGTGTGTGTGTGTGTGTGTGTGTGTGTGTGTGTGTGTGTGTGTGTGTGTGTGTGTGTGTGTGTGTGTGTATGAGTGTGTGTGTGTGTGTGCAGGTGGGTGTGAGTGTGTGTGGGATGCCCGAAGTTATTTTTACACACTATATTGTAGCCTGTTGTATTTTTCATTCATTTGTTACCCACATTTATACATTTAAATTTATATTTTTACTGTATTTTTTTTAAATCATTCAGTATACTTTTGCCAGACGATAAATGTTGCAGGTAGCGATAGATAGTTTGTGTCACAAGTTACGATAGATAGCCTGTGTTACAATTTACGATAGACAGACTGTATTACAAGTGAAGTGACGATAGATAACCTTGTGTAACAAGTGACGATAGATAACGTGTGTAACAAGTGACAATAGATAGCTTATGGTGCAAATGACAATAGATAGAGTGTGTTGCAAATGACAATAGATAGAGTGTGTTGCAGGTGATAATAGACAACTATTCTCAACAGGTCGTCAGGATAGACAACATGGACACCACAGGAACCACACCATCAACATGGGGGACAATCTGCAATAGAAATAGATTCCTATCTATTTGTGACTAGAGTGACATATATAGCATTATATTGCCTTTAATTACACTACTCTGCAATGTTTTGCATCATAAAGTAGGTTCTTGCATGGCACTTCCCCTTAATTACCTGTTTTCCCTACATATTACCATTTAATTACCTATTTCCATTTAATTACCTATTTACATTATTTTTATTATTCCCATTTATTTGTTATTATTCCTATTTATTATTATTATTCCTATTTATTTGTTAATATTCCTATTTATTTGTTACTAGCTGTACCCGGCTACGTGTTGCTGTGGCTCAGCAATGCGCATGTTTTGCTGAACCACAGCAACCCCGTCCCCCCGTCCTCCCCACCATTCCCCTCTCCCCCGTCCCCTCGTCCTCCCCACCATTCCCCTCTCCCCCGTTCCCCCGTCCTCCCCACCATTCCCCTCTCCCCCGTTCCCCCGTCCTCCCCACCATTCCCCTCTTCCCCGTTCCCCCGTCCTCCCCACCATTCCCCTCTTCCCCGTTCCCCCGTCCTCCCCACCATTCCCCTCTTCCCCGTTCCCCCGTCCTCCCCACCATTCCCCTCTTCCCCGTTCCCCCGTCCTCCCCACCATTCCCTCTCCCCTGTTCCCCCGTCCTCCCCACCATTCCCCTCTCCCCCGTTCCCTCGTCCTCCCCACCATTCCCCTCTCCCCCGTTCCCTCGTCCTCCCCACCATTCCCCTCTCCCCCGTCCCCCCGTCCTCCCCACCATTCCCCTCTCCCCGTTCCCTCGTCCTCCCCACCATTCCCCTCTTCCCCGTTCCCCCGTCCTCCCCACCATTCCCCTCTCCCCCGTCCCCCCGTCCTCCCCACCATTCCCAAATGATCTGATGTTGCCATCACTAAAAAATAAGAAGATTTTTAAAAAACGAAATGAAAAACAATGAAAAAATAAAAAATAAATTATACACACAAAATGAACGGTATGGTAAACAACACAGGTCAATTCCAATGCAATATCACACAAAATAATTAAATCAAATAAAAATAAAATCAAAATCTATGAAAATTCAATTTATCAATGCAATCGAAAACATTGCAATGGAATCGTAACATATTTAGTATAGCGTGTGTTGCTATTACGTGCAACAGATAGTGCTGTTTACAAAAAAAATGCATATTTTTACCTATCGCAGATGTGACATCTATATAGTAGGTATATAAAAACCCGCTCATATGCGAATGGAACATTGTGTCAAAATTTCAAAGCAATTGGTGAAGAACTTTCGGAGATTTGCGATTTTGAACAAACGAACATCTACATTTTTATTTATATAGATTATTCCTATTTATTTGTTAATATTCCTATTTATTTGTTAATATTCCCATTTTATTTGTTAATATTCCTATTTATTTGTTATTATTCCTATTTATTTGTTTTAAAAGTTATTTATTAATATTCCTACTTTTATATATTTGTTTTTTCAAGTAATTAATTATACGAAACAAAATTATTAAAAAAAAACTTTTCACTGCCTTGTGGTGCGTCACTGTTGTTGTGCTTCCGTTCTCGCACTTGCTTATAGTCAATATTGGCTTATTTAATAAGTGCATATGTGACATAGTAATTGATTGTGAATATTTTAGTTTACCTTGAAAAGCTTCATAGAAAACACCGACCTCACCTAACCTTCTTAGTATGTTAAGATAAGCATTGTATTGCTTCTTAATTACAATTATTACTTAACCTATACCTTCCCACCATGGCGTCACAATCCGTGTGGTTTAATGCATTTAAAGCCGACACAATATTGATTTCTCAGACTAATGATCATACTACTAGGTGAATAGGGATTTTCAGATGAAAGGATACGAATCAAACCGTCTCTATTCCGCGTGGGGGATCGATCCCAGGATCCTGGATTCGTAGAGGACGTAGACTACTGCCCCATGGGACTCTAACCTCAGACCGAACTATACCCATGACTGTGAGGCGAGGACGTAGACCATTGCGCCACGGGGCTCTAACCTCAGACCGAACCAGGGTTGTCAGATTGGGCTACAAATAGCGAATTGGGCTACTTTTGAGAGCCCCGTGCTCCCAAATTTTTAATTTCGCTACTTGCTACTTTTTGGGCTAATTTAAAAGCAAGATGTGCTAATTTGGGCTATTAATGTTAAGAATGTACGATTGCGAGTTACATGAAAGTAACTAAGCTATAAATAATTGTAATTAATAATAATTGTAAATATTAATTAATACTAAATAATATTATTTAATAAATTAGTCCCAATTCAATGCAGAGTTGTCTTCCAAGCACAGAAACTTGTAAATATAAATACAAGATAATAGATAGATCGATAAATAAATAGACAACTTTCAAATATTGCACCAAGTAATGGCGAGAGGAAAAAAACTAGACAGTATACAGTACATTTGAAATTAATAATGGACGAATGTAATAAATTGGTGTATGTTTGTATGTATATCAGACAAAGTCCATTTAATGGCAGAATTTAGCCATTTTCTGTAAAAACTTTTATATCTCATATCATTAATTATAACAGTAATCGGAAAAAGTCATAGTTTGTATATACAAGAGATGAAACAGAGAGCCATGAGCTAGAGCGATGTGCCGAGTCCATAAGGAGGCGGAGCTTCCAGAAATACCTTCCTGTGATTGGCTGTTGCGGGGAATACCAACACTCTTTTATGAATAAAATTTAAACTAAGAAATAGGTCCTTGTGCACAATAACAAGGTTGTTGTGAAAAAGAACAACAATTTCTGTTTTGCACCTGACAGAAATCTCCATCTAACTGAATAATTTACTCGAATAAGAGGGCAGAGCAGCGTATCATTATTTGTGTGAGGCAACTCCCACTGATGACGTCACAAGTCAGGTAGCCAGCCCATGTTTCTGTAACACTCGTTACATCCTGCAGTATCTAATTATCACTATATTAATACTTTTAAATACTTAACATTTCACTTTTTAGGTAGATTAAAGTTGAAGCAGAATGCCATAAGCAAGGATGGTGAGCTGAATAAATATGATTTATTAAATGGATTAGCTGATCCCTTCCTGTGATTGGCTGTTGTGTGAATGTCAACAAAGAGTTTCTACCAATGATATGCCATTTATTATGCACCCCATACCACTTGTGGGTGGAGCTAGGAACCTCCTACCCGAACACAACAACCCGCCTTATGGGTTGCTGTTTGGCTATTTATAGTGCGTTGGAAAAAAAAGAGATGGCGCTAGTTGTATTTTGTGGGGTAATTTGTTATAAGTGTAATTTGATGTCAACAGATGGCGTAAGCTGTATCTTATGGCCACTGTTGACCAGCCAGTTGATAGTGTTCTCTTCTGCCGACAGATGGCATTAGCTGTATTATTATTATTTTAATAATACTATTACATTAATAATAATGTATTATTATTGCTTTAAACACTGATCTATATGTCTGGTAGCTTATAATAAGGTTTTATACCATGCTGGTATTAGGTAACTAGAATTCTGCAATTACTTTTTTTTATCTACTGTTGAGGATATGTAAGACAAATGTAAGGTTTTGAGGCTAAGTAACGAAGATAGTTGCAAGATACGAGCCAGATGGTGTTGAGATTGCAAAAGGGATTATGATAAGAACTTAAGCCAAAAAATCAATGCATAAATATTCGTAAATATGAGGCTGGGATTTATTTCTCGAAAAGTTAGCAATAAAATACGCTTTCTAGTTCTTTATTTTTGAAATTAAGACCAGGGATTCTGTCTAACGAAGCTGCAAGCTAAAACACCGTTATCCTATAATGTTCATCTGTAGCTTGACCCTAAATACTCGTTTATTAAACAAATTTATTGTTAGAGTTCATTAGGAATCAACTTTGTCGAAGGCAGTTTCCAACAAATACCTTCCTGTGATTGGCTGTTGCGGGGAATGCCAACGCTTATATGAATAAAATACAAAATAAGAAATACGTCCTTTTGCTCAATAACCTTGTTGTTGTTGTACAAAAGAACAACCATTTCTGTTTTATACAAGACAGAAATTTCCATCTAACTGAATAATGTAGACCAATAAGAGGCGGAGGCATTGTATCGCCGATATTATTTGTGTGAGGCAACTCCCACTGATGACGTCACAAGCTAGGTAGCCAGCCCATGTTTCTGTAACACTCGTTACATCCTGCAGTATTTAATTATCACTATATTAATACTTTTAAATACTTAACATTTCACTTTTTAGGTAGATTAAAGTTGAAGCAGAATGTCATAAGCAAGGATGGTGTGCTGAATAAAGATGATTTATTAAGTCTAAGATGATTTATTAAGTATTCTGCAGTCTCCGTGGTGTAGTGGTAAGACACTCGCCTGGCGTTCCGCGAGCGCTATGTCATGGGTTCGTATCCTGGCCGGGGAGGATTTACTGGGCGCAATTCCTTAACTGTAGCCTCTGTTTAACGCAACAGTAAAATGTGTACTTGGATGAAAAAACGATTCTTCGCGGCAGGGGATCGTATTCCAGGGACCATAGGATTAAGGACTTGCCCGAAACGCTACGCGTACTAGTGGCTCTACAAGAATGTAACAACTCTTGTATATATCTCAAAAAAAAAAAAAGCGGATGGAGCCTTTAGCTGATCCCTTCCTCTGATTGACTGTTGAGTGAATGTCAACAAAGAATATCTACCAATGATATATCATTTATTATGCACCCCATACCACTTGTGGGCGGAGCTAGGAACCTCCTACCCGAGCACAACAACCCGCCTTATGGGTTGCTGTTTGGCTATTTATAGTGCGTTGGAAAAAAAAGAGATGGCGCTAGTTGTATTTTGTGGGGTAATTTGTTATAAGTGTAATTTGATGTCAACAGATGGCGTAAGCTGTACCTTATGGCCACTGTTGACCAGCCAGTTGATAGTGTTCTCTTCTGCCGACAGATGGCATCAGCTGTATCATTATTCCTTCCGAATTCCCTTTAAACACTGATCTACAAATCCCTTGGCTTATGATAAGGTTTTATACCATTTATGATAAGTATTAGATAACTGGAGTTCCGCAATTACTTTTATTTATCAACTGTTCAGGATATCATCATATAACGTCTGGTTAGGACGTACTGCTCTCGATTGATGAAGATTAAGCCACCCAAGAGGTGGCACGGGCATGAATAGCCCGTAAATACTGCTCTCGTAATATTATTCAGGGGGGTGGGGGAAGTATCAAGTGAAAGCGACAGGCCATTACGACTATATAGCACTCGAAAGGGATCAGGATACGGATAATGCCGAAAAAAACATTAAAGTCCACTTCAAGTTCAAGTATGTTTATTGAGACAATAAAAAAAAGACATCTCAAAGGGATAGAGTAGCTATGGCTATTTCTACCCCCTCTACTTCAAGTCCCTCAAAGGGCGCACAAAGTCAATGAGTACATTGATTGAGTACAATGAGTACATTGATTGATTAGGTAAATACACGTATATATATATATATATATATATATATATATATATATATATATATATATATATATATATATATATATATATATATATATGTGTGTGTATGTGCAGAAATAATATTAATAAAACAATTAACATCGTGTAGTGTACTCTATATATCAAAATATATTACTTTGAAACCCATATCATTCACTAAAAAAAATTGGGCTACTCTTATTACAAATTCGCTACTTTTAGACCGTCAGCTCGCTACTTTCAGCAATTTAGATCTGGCAACCCTGGACCGAACTATACCCATGACTGTGAGGCGAGGACGTAGACCACTGCGCCACGGGACCCGAGCCAGGGCGGTGGCGTGTTAGATAAGGCGTACAAGGGCCCCTTAACGTGGACCATCTAACCGGAAAGAATGAGACTTGAAGCCTCGCTCCGGTAAAAGTCCCTCCTGGCGTGATGGTGCTGGTGTCATTATTGTGGCTAGATCACGCCATCTATCCGGATACTTCCCCCCCCCCTCCTGTGGAGACTAGTTTACATCCCATAGACCAGCCTTGAGTTAGATCTTGGTATCCCCATCTCTGCTGTCAAGATTATATTGTTTCTAACACTCAGGTTTCATAGGAGAGAATTTACTGATTCCCAACGACCTGAAAGCACTAGTATATAAAGTCGACCAGACTGTGCGACACAGTGGTTGCCAGGATCAGGTTGGGTTACCGTTACCTGTGGCAGGTGGCTACCGTTACCTGTGGCAGGTGGCTACCGTTAACTGTGGCAGGTGGCTACCGTTACCTGTGGCAGGTGGCTACCGTTACCTGTGGCAGGTGGCTACCGTTACCTGTGGCAGGTGGCTACCGTTACATGTGGCAGGTGGCTACCGTTACCTGTGGCAGGTGGCTACAGGTGACGGATCTCCCAATCCTGAGCACTCCAGGTGCAAACTCTGTGAGCAGGAACTACGGCATGATCTCCCGCACTACATCACTGAATGCCCAGTTATTAGACCTTTCAGACCAGTTGGCATGAGGTACCTGGAGCTCTGCAATTACTTTATTCACTCTCGTATTCTTGAAGATATCCTCACAGTGTACCCAAAATTTGCCAGTGCCGGCTACTAAACATATGGCCCTGTATGACTAACCATCCTGCGAGATGGGGGCTTTTATTACCACTGTTTCCTTATTCAATCTTGTGTTGATGTTATCCTCAAAATTCTTCCGGAGTCTGCCAGTGCAGACTACTTATCACATGCCTCTGTATGACTAACTATCCTGTGTGATGGGGATTTTTAGCATCACGTAGCTAGTTTTTTGACACACTGTACTCCCCTTCATATAGTCTAAGGTAGCTGCACAAATGCAGATGTACCTAAATGTGTTAATAAAAAAAATTACATCTCCTTGACGCCATTCTGTGAAGACCAGTTTCTATGGTCAATACTGAGAAAAAAATATAGTTTGGTAGTTTTCCTTAATATACTCTAGTTTCCTTTGTCGGGGGTCAAGTTGGTTATGCGGTCATGCGGTCTATTTGCCAGATCTAGCGGCACTTAACCCGACAGACCGAATGATGTTAATGCACAGTATAATATTCTGCAGTCAAATTGTACAGAGAGGTTTTGTACGAAGCCTGTTTCCTGTTTTTATTTGTAATGCCATCGACCAATATCATTAGGCTAGGCTGGGTTAGGTTAGGCTAGGCTGGGTTAGGTTAGGCTAGGCTGGGTTAGGTTAGGCTGGGTTAGGTTAGGCTAGGCTGGGTTAGGTTAGGCTAGGCTGGGTAAGGTTAGGCTAAGCTTGGTTAGGTTAGGCTAGGCTTGATTAGGTTAGGCTAGGCTGGGTTAGGTTAGGCTAGGCTGGGTTAGGCTTCGCTGGGTTAGGTATTCTTTAATATCCTTTGGTAAATTTGTTTTATGAATGAAGATATTTTTATTGAAAATAATGATTAAACTTCGACTCTTCAACGATGTATTCGATCTATCACGATGTATTCGATGTAGTCCACGTGATGTAGTGGTTAAGACACTCGCCTGGCGTTTCGCGAGCGTTTTGTCCTGGGTTCGTATCCTGGCCGGGGAGGATTGACTGGGCGCCAATCCTTAACTGTAGCCTCTGTTCACCCAACAGTAAAATGGGTACCTGGTTGTTAAACGATTTGGCAGGCCGTATTCCGGGGAACATGGGATTAAGGACCTGCCCGAAACGCTATATACGCGTGCTAGTGGCTGTACAAGAATGTAAGAACTCTTGTATATATAAATATATACGTCATAATTTATTAACTCTAATTATATAAAGATAATGTATGGTCAAATCGTATACGTGATGATTCGACAGTTTGTTCTCTTATTGTTGAAAGGGTATATATCGACTGATTAGGCTGTATTAGGTAGTTTAACTAATGTTAGGCTCAGTAAGGCTAAGTTAACTTGTATTAGGTTAGATTTGGTAATGTTCTACAGATTTTAAAATAGTTTGACAAACCGTCTTGTGTACGATATGTCTCGTACAGGTGTGATGAAAATAACTGCCAGACGCACGAATGAACAAACTAAGGATTTTAAACTATTTACATATACTCTCTATCAATTTAATAATTAAAAAAACTCATATTAATGAATACAAAACAAAGTATTCTGAGACCAAACATCTTTTAAAAAGTATAAAATAAATCAAGGTTTATCGCCTACAAAAGTGTAACCTGGCAGTCGTGCCGGCAACGCGAGATAATGAGTATAGTACGGTATCTTGACCGAGAAGTACGGTACAAGGTCGCTCTTGGCTTGTGTAGTTGGCCTTAAGATCCATATTATTAATACCTCAGGAGGGCTAATGAAGCCACCCTCGGGAGCTTATACTCATCAGCTAGTAACTTCAAGGTAACATAATTACATAATTGATTGTTTACAATACAGCAAGATTAAAAAAAAATGTTTGTTTGCTAGAAGCTGTAGCCTCGTAGTAGAGTAGGCTTCGTTCTGGACTCACAATCAGGGATATTGCATTCGACTCCCTGGCGGGATAGAGATGATTGAGCAAGTTTTCTTTGGTATAATGCCGCTGTTCACCTAACCAGAAATAGGTACACGAGGCGTTAGGCTACTGTTATTGGGGTTATATTCTGGGGAAAGTTAATGTAAGGGTCGACCTTAGTGGAGGAACCTCCATACAAGCCTAACGTATATATACAAATACACCGGCTTCCTGTCCCTGACCACGGGAATAATTATATACTCAGGCTTCCTGAGTATATATACACAGTTGACAAAACTAAGTATACTTTGTCTTATACGTTGTTGAGCATATATTCACAAGGGAAACTTGAGGACAGCTCTAGCTATAGGTGGGTGGGTGTACTCGCCTACTTACGCGTTCAAGGTCGAACGTCGGCTCTAAAGCTCCGCCTTTAATAAATAAATAAATAGATAAATAAATAAATGTTTATTCAGGTAAGGTACATACATACAAGAGATTTTACAAAATTGATAGATTTATAGATAGAGCTAGTACATACAATGCCTAAAGCCACTAATACGCAAAGCGTTTCGGGCAAACTTTTCCGCTAAAGTTTCAATGCAGTGATTCTTTTTCTCTCGTTGTTCTTACCTTTACATTTAATATTTAAAGCTGTGAATCGTATTGGCTTCGACAACTTCCTCATCTGTTACGAGGCTGACAAACTTCTCTCTGTCTTGTGTGTGAGTCATATGTTTTTTTACAGTTTCTAATTATGTCCTCTCGTTCTACTGTTCCTTTATTTGACCATGGCTTCTATATACTTTGTCAGTACCTCCTTAGTATCTTGTACATCGTTATCATGTCTGCTCTTTCTTTCCTCCTGTGTAGTGAGGTTCAGTTCCCTCAGTCTTCATGACTCAGGAACGGGCCTTCTTGTATATTTTTGTAATTTTCGGTTTCTTTTGCGTTTCATTAGGTAGGGCTTCCATGCTGGTGCTGCATACTCAGTAACAGGTCTCACGAAGGTTGTATACTGTGTACGGAAGGGCTCGTTGTCCAAGTTGGTGAAGGATAACGGGACGTTGGCCAGTATGGCTGCCCTCGTTATCCTGCTGATGTGTGCCTCTGGTGTTAGATATCCAGTTATGGCCACTTCCAAGTCTTTCTCTTTCTCAGAAGTTGGAAGTTGACTTCCCTTCATCTTGTTCTGTATATGAGGCCTCCTTGCTCCAGTTCCTATCCTCATAACCTTACATTTGTCAGGGTTAAAGTCTAGTAGCCATTTCTCAGACCATCTCTGGAAATTGTCTAGGTTATCTTGTATTACAGTCCTCCTCAGTTCCGATTCGCCTCATTAGCTTAACATCGTCAGCAAACCCGGATAAGAATCCAGGTACTGCCTCTGTTAGATCGTTTACATATATTAGGAATAGCATGGGCCCAAGTACCGACCTCTGAGGTACTCCACCCATTATCTCTCACCATTCTGATAACTCCTGTTACTATGACTCTGCAGCCTTGCTCCTTCATCCACTTCAGTACTTTTTTCAGTACAACAACCTGTTTTCCATATGCAGACGAGGAGTCACAACGTGGCTGAAATATGTTGACCAAACCACATACTAGAAAGTGAAGCGACGACGACGTTTCGGTCCGTCCTGGACCATTCTCAAGTCACAATCGACTTGAGAATGGTCCAGGACGGACCGAAACGTCGTCGTCGTTTCACTTTCTAATGTGTATGTAACGTACGATTATGTTACGTTGTTGGGTAGATTAGATACACAGTGTTTAGTGAGTTTCATATTTATTTAGTAGTCCTGGATACAGCAGTGTCGTAGACGTTGAGACGGAGCTTGGAGCAGAGCAGAGAGCCAAGTGTGGCCGGAGTCGCGGCGCGGAGCTCTATGAGGGAGAGCGTTGTAGCTCTATGCGGTCCTAGTCTGCTGCCTGTTCTGTGTCGAAGCTGTAGCGTCTTGGAGACGATTAGAACTGCCTATACCAAGTGCTACATTCTTGACTGGGAATTGTACTGTCCGCTATTCCTCATATCGCTTGCTTATATGGTGATTACACCTCAGCTCCCTCCAACAAGATAAGAAGAGTATTACCTGTAATTGGGGAAAGGATTGTAGCTTCTGTAATTAGTGTTAATTAGTTATGCTATTAAGATAATGAGATAATGGAGCGAGTATAAGATTAACTCGCTACATGTAATTTGGTCAACAGCCTGTTTACGAGTTTGATTAGGAGTCGCTTGTGAGAACAGTGTATTCACTATTTGTATCAGTACTTGTACCTGCAGAATCGAGCTGTTAGCTCTTGGACTCCGCCTTTCTAACTAATCTATTTTCCTCTATTATATATGTGTGTGAATCTGTGAATGTACTTGCCAAATTGTACTCGCCCAAGTGCGTGTACTCACCTATAGTTGCGATATTACGTGTATTCACCTAGTTGGGCTTGCGGGGGTTGAGCTCTGCGGCCCGCCTCTCAACTGTCAATCAACTGATTTTTTTTTCTACAACCCCCCCCCCCCCATAAAACAGCCCGTAGCAGTCTAACTCCCAAATACCTATTTACTGCTAGGCGAACAGACGCAACAGGGTGAAAGAAACTCTGCCCATTTGTTTCCGACATCGCCGGGAATCGACCCCCGGACACTAGGATTACGAATCCCGAGCGCTGTTCACTCAGCCATCAGGCCCCGTGTATGTGGGCGTTTGGATATGTGTATGATTGATGAACTTTTCTACCCCTTGTAAAGAAGAACAAAATAACTTAGAGTAAACTCTCATAAATAAACGATAGAAGTAGACAATAGAATTAGACTGAAACCAAAGGCCACTTAGTGAACCGATGCTATGGATAAACAGTTCCCCTCGTGACTATAACATGAACATCATGTATACGAGGCAGTTAAGGGTAAATAGAAATGCCAATTCCACGAACGGCAAGCACCAGGCTGGCAACAGGGAAGCAGTTGCCTTTTTGGCAATAAACATTTCCTTTCTATTTATTAAAAAAAACCAAATATACTGTATATTACGAACATAATATTCATATTTTATCAAGATCAGTATGAATGTGATTAATACAACTTGTAGTATGTTCTCAGACGTTTGGTAGTAGGTGTTTGTTAATAGTTTAGAGTGTAATGGTTGGAGGGTCTGGTACTGGGGGTATAGAAGTCTTGGGGCACTGTCATCATGCCCTCATGCCCAGTCACGCCCAGTGTGGTGGTTCTTGCTTACTGGTGAGGTTCATGTACTGGTGGTGCTCGTGGGCCAGTACTGGTGGCTGTTGTTGTTTTAGGTTAAGCTGCCCGGAACGAAAGTTGCAAGTAGCACGGGCTATGGCAAGCCCGTAGTGAACTTACCTGGCACAGGAGCGGGGCTGTAACTGAGCTGTGGCGCTCGTGCACTGGTGGTGCCCGTGCACTGGCGGCGCTCGCGTGTCGGCGGCGCTCGTGCACTGGTGGCGTTCGTGCACTGGCGGCGTTCGTGCTCTGGTGGCGTTCGTGCAGTGGCGGTGCTCGTGCAGTGGCGGCGTTCGTGCACTGGCGGCGTTCGTGCTCTGGTGGCGTTCGTGCAGTGGCGGCGTTCGTGCACTGGCGGCGCTCGCGTGTCGGCAGTGGTCGTGCACTGTTGGCGCTCGTGCTCTGGCGGCGCTCGTGCACTGGTGGTGTTCGTGCTCTGGCGGCGCTCGTGCACTGGTGGCGTTCATGCACTGGCGGCGTTCGTGCTCTGGCGGCGCTCGTGCACTGGTGGCGTTCGTGCTCTGGCGGCGCTCGTGCACTGGTGGCGTTCGTGCTCTGGCGGCGCTCGTGCACTGGTGGCGTTCGTGCTCTGGCGGCGCTCGTGCTCTGGCGGCGCTCGTGCTCTGGCGGTGCTCGTGCTCTGGCGGCGCTCGTGCACTGGCGGCGCTCGTGCACTGGCGGCGCTCGTGCACTGGCGGCGCTCGTGCACTGGCGGCGCTCGTGCACTGGCGGCGCTCGTGCACTGGCGGCGCTCGTGCACTGGCGGCGCTCGTGCACTGGCGGCGTTCGTGCACTGGCGGCGCTCGTGCACTGGCGGCGCTCGTGCACTGGTGGCGTTCGTGCACTGGCGGCGCTCGTGCACTGGTGGCGTTCGTGCACTGGCGGCGCTCGTGCACTGGTGGCGTTCGTGCACTGGCGGCGCTCGTGCACTGGTGGCGTTCGTGCACTGGCGGCGCTCGTGCACTGGCGGCGCTCGTGCACTGGCGGCGCTCGTGCACTGGCGGCGCTCGTGCAGTGGCGCCGCTCGTGCACTGGCGGCGCTCGTGCACTGGCGGCGCTTGTACATTTGTCAGATTTTCACCATAATGTTATCCCACCTGTATTAAACATGTCCCCAAAAATATTCAATATATCAAATGAACCTCAAACTTAAATTTCTGTACCTGTACTTATCCCACACAAAGTTCTATTGGATTAATTAATATTACAAAATTCTCATAACCTATTCTTTATAGGTAGAAAAGTGGGTCATGTCGATGCAGAAGGCTGCCTATGGCACTTGGAAGTCTCCTATTTCCAGTGATGTTGCAACAAGTGCAGTGAACAAAGTGGTGGAGGCACCCCAGGTTGACCCTAGTACAGGTCAGTCAAATGCTGTTGCTGACATCTATAAGGTGATGGTACAAGTGACAGGATGAACAACCCAGCGGGTTTTCTTCCTATTGGGGAGTGTTGTACATTCTGCTATGGCGGTGTGTCCACTCGCAGGATGAGTGGCGTTGCCCAATAAACTCGCCCCTCGGGGCAAAATTTAAATTTAAAGGGTGGATCTCATTGAAACTTAAAATACTGAACAAGTTGGAGGGTGTCGATCCTGACAATTTCTTCGGAAGGTCAGATGTAACACAAACAAGGAGCAACAGCTCAACAAGCCACAATGTAGGACAGAACAGGAGATGCTTCCATGATAAATCCATGGAACCACCTACCTGCTGAAGCTGTAAATGCTAACACTGTTAGTTTTCAAAATCTACCTGGAAAAGATAAAAGCAAATGGGAAGGGGGGGGGGTGATCTTGGACAAGCCGCCAGCTTCCTATCCTCATCCGCTAACACGAGTGGCCCTCGGGTAAATCGGGTATTAAGGACCTGCCCAAAATGCTATGCATGTTAGTGACTTTGCAATGTTATGTACTCTCACAAACCCAATGTACCTTTTTGTATGTAAATAAATAAATAGATAAAAAGATGATTATCAGGAGATCTCGCTATGCCATTACAACCATACTGTGTAGCACTTGGAAGGGATTTGGGATAAGGATTTGGGATTGAATGGGGGAAGAGTATGGTGTCCAACCACTTGGACGGTAATTTGATCGCTGACCTGCAAGAAGCTAGGTCATTGCTCGACCTGTCAGTACCTACTTATCAAGAGTCTAAAAGGGTGCAAGGTCTAGGGTTTTATGCCCAGCCTACTATCCTTATACCTGTTGCATTATAATTTACCTATTTTGATGTTCAAAATCTGTTTTTCTGGCCTTAAAGTTGGGGATAAAGGTGGCTTCCACATATCCATCCATACATGATATATTTATTTACATTTCTTTGAATCTTTGTTACCAACTTCAATGTGTCTTCTTGCGCTACTTTTTCTCAAATTAAAAAGGCTGTCCTTGTCCTCCCTGCATATTCCTCTCTGTATTTTGTGGTCATATTCTGTCTGTTTCTAATGTTCTCTAGGGTTTTGAGATCTAATTCCATTAACCTATTCTTATAGCTTAACCCTCTTAGCTGTATTGTGAAACATTGTTTTTATGGAATGATGCAAATTTGTTGAACACTATTATTGGAAAATACATTTTTTTTTTAGTAAATTATGTTGTTACTTTGTAATAAAAGCTTTTGTATTTGTCTCCAGGATGGGTGTTTTGGTGTGAGTGGCTGAGCAGTGAGGGAGGTCAGAGTTCCATCTTCCACTTCAATCCAGGTACTGTACATGTAACATCACTTGATGCCTGCCATGTTGTATTACTCTTCATCTGATAACTATCATAGCTTGTAGAAATGGTATGGTTGTGAAAATAAAATGTAGAGAGATTTAAAACAGATCGGTTGTGGGTTCGATTTCTAGCAGTTCGAGATGCTTTGGAATGTTTCCTTATTCCCAATGATTTGGATCACCTAGCAGTAAATAGGTATGTATGTGGGAGTTAGTAAAGTGTTGTGGCTTGCATCTTGGGCAGGCCAAGTTGCTGTCCTGGGAAAACCTTGAGAAGCCTACAGGCTTCCTGGCTGCCACCATGGAAAGCCACTTGGCCCCATTGAACTGCAGTGGTAGTGACACTCCTGGCTGCTAATTCTTCATAAAAATGTCATGAAACCATTTATTGAAATATTCAGCCTCTAACTGCTCCATTTCTGATATCCGGGACAGGGAAGCCTGTACTGTACTTAAGCTTATTGTGTGGTCCTCCCCTATTCCAACTACTGTACACACCTTTCCCAGGATGCCATAGACCACTGTGCTACAGGACTCTTAACATGCATGATTTCCTTCAACTCCTGATGGGTTTAATGAATCATTACAATCTTTATTTGATGTAGCAAGTGTTGATTCCCAAGTTATTATATATTTAATCCTTGGTTTTATCTTTTATAAATCTCCTTCTCTCTTGGCCCTTCCTCCAACTGATCTGTATTATATTAACTAGTTATGCCAAGGTCAGAACTCCAAAAGTACAACTTATAGTATTGTGTTTAATAAAATATAATGTTATTCAGAGACAAAAGAAATTGTTCGGTGGACGAAGGACTACGATGTGAGGACCAAAGTCCATGAATATGGTGGTGGTGCCTTTACTATCTACAACAACACCCTGTATTTTGCTCATAGTGACAACGGTGCTATCTACAGGCAGGTTGGCCCAGATGGCACTCCTTCACGCCTAACCAAAATTGGAAGTAAAAGATATGCTGATGGCATCTATTGTCCAAAGGTAACCATTTTTCCCCCCCTCTGCAAAGTAATTGTGTTCTCTGCAGCATAATTGTAATTTTTCGTAATTAAACTGCAGCATAAAACTGTATTGTAATTGTATTCTGTGAAAATGATGCTTCATCTGAGGGTGTAAGGATCTCACTGTCATCATGACTACTTTCAACCAAAGATGCTCAAAACAATCCTCAGGTTTAACAAATATATTAGGTTGTAATACCATTAACTATGATTTTTTTTTCAGAGGGAAGCCTTGGTGTATGTATCGGAGGACCATGGAGTCGTAAAGAGAGGAGAGGCTAAGGAACCTCGCAATGCCCTGACCCTGGTTGATGCTAAGACTGGAGATGAAGCAATCCTGGTTGGAGAAGCGGATTTCTTCGCTGCTCCGACACTCTCCCCTGATGGTCGTTTCCTTGCGTGGATCCAGTGGAATCACCCACAAATGGTATGGCCTTGAGCTTAGAAAGTATGTTGTCAGGATCCTGGGGTGAGGGTTCCAGAATAGGGGGTTTTGGAGTTGGGGGGGGGGGGGGGGAGGCAGAAAAACATGTTAAAACCCCTTCAGACATTGTTCGTAATTATGGAAAGGTGCCTGTCCCCAGAAGACTGCATAGAAGTACAGCATATTGTACTGTATATTCCCAGAATATTCAGAAGTTCCTAGATAATCTGTTGGCAAGAGATGTGCTGTAGAATTCCTGTATAGAGAAAAATGAGGGTAAATATATTAACATCCCAAACCAACCAGTACAAAGTGACATCCTTCAAAAGCTAGAAAAAAAAATAAATCTCCAGATGCACCAAGCGGCCTCTGAAGATGACACAGAACAACAGCGACTGCATGACTCTAATAATTAGCTCTGCTGATCTACCAGAACTACTACAAGGTGAGAACTGCTGTAATGTAGCCCATAACCTAATTAATTCAAAGAACAATGTTAATGTTGATATTAAATCGGCTGTCAGCATAGATAAAAACAGTCCCGGTAGCTCTAGACAAATGCTCATTAAACTCGCGAATCCTGCTGTGAAGTATGACTTCATTTAATCAGCTGCACATAAAATCCAATCTTTATGTAAATGAGTGCCTTACCAAGCAGTGTGGATCCTCCCTCAACAGGCTGTGTCAAATTCACAAACAAAACCCAAGTCTTATCAAGCAGTGCTACACTAAGAATGGAACGATCATTGTAAAGAAGGAAAGAACGGGAAAAAGATATGAAATAAATGTGACCAACAACTAATGACCCTCTTTATTGATTTTGGCATGATAGAAAACCTGTATTCTTCCAATGTCGATACTGGAAATATCTCGTGAGTGACCTTAGCCTTACCGAGCCTAATCTTGTCCAAGATGCTGTCTTATGCTCTATTGATTAAATAATGCTCTCATCCATAAGTGCCTAACTTTTCAGTAAAGTCTCCATGTACTTGCCTGCATAAGCATCTACCTCAGTACTGTAGCAAAAGCTTACAACAGTATTATATCAATTATCTCTGAATTTAATGGTAATTTAAGATTAATAATTGATTATTAATTAAGATCACACTTTAAGATTACATTAATTATAGGGGTCATAATTAAGCTAATTATTGTTAATTACCTATAAGATTATATTATATTTAGATTATATTAATCGGTATTAATTAGCTAATATTAACTGTCATTTTTTTATTCCATAATCTTATTGAATATTAATCTTGTCATCTGTATCTTACTTGTCTAATTATTGATTCTTATTTCATTTTTAAGTTGTTCCTATTATTTGATTTTTTTGTGTGGAGGAAGTGGAGTGTGGCATTTGCTTGTTTCCTTGGGATTGGAGGGTGTTCTGCCTCTCTTTCAGGTTTTAGTTGTACTTTTCTTACCATGTCGGGTTTTTGTTTTGCCCACCTTTCTGGGTGCCTAACCCCAGATGATGGCAGGTAAGGAAAACGGCCAACTACAGGAGGGTTTTCCAGGGCCATTGCTCCCTGCAACCTCTGAGGGGGGACCAGGTTCTGGCTCATGGTCCTTGGTAGATCAAACTCCATAGACTAATGCCCCAGTCTAATGTGTCACACATTAGCCCAATAGCTCCAGGGAGCCTCCGGGGCTCACCCAGGAAATGGCATTTAATTACATTCAATGCTGGTTTTTTGTTGCAATTTGCTGTCACACACCTCCCCCATATTCTAATTACTCCATGCAATTTGCCATTTTTACTCCATGCAAACTATATTATATCCATAATTCAATCACTTAAAACCAAAGCTGGGAACATTAGTGAAATATCATTTATGGTATATAATGAGTGCTGCCCCTGCTCTTGCAGGGGCAAGCTCTTTTGCAGGCAAAATACCATGCTGGAATTTTCAAAGTGTGGATGACAATTTATATGATGCGGGCGTGGATCACTAATTCCTTTAGAGCTTCAGTAGTAGTAAGGGAAAGTAAACAAACAATTCCAGTATGGTAGCAGAAGTTGCCTCCTGGAAAATTTCCTTATTAAGACTACTCGATAGCCCAGTCGATAGAGCTTCGGCCTCACACTCGTGGGGTCCACGGTTCACGTTTTCGAGAGCCCAGGCGAATGCAATGTCTATTTCCACGGAAGTGTGGATGACAATTTGTATTATTATTATAACCTTCAAGATTATGCTAATATTTGATTTGAACATCTTAATGCAATAAATTTAAGCCACACGATCATATAATGCACTCGAAATTATGTGCATCAAGATACAAGTTGCCTAATGTGATATTTTATACTTCAGCCATGGTGGGAAACACAGCTGTGTGTGGCAGAATTTGGTGACAAGAACGAGGTTAACATAGTTTTCTCTCGTAAAAACAGGAGGTTAGTATCTGCATTTGCTGTTATCGAGTAACACTGAATGCACTGTTTTTCATGTGAGCATTTAGCTATTTAATCCAGTATTGTCATAATGAAAGTTTAGTTAAAATTTTAATTTTCTCTTCATTGTGTTCCTTTGTAAAGACTTGCATTATGATTTCAGATAATTTGATTTGGCCACAAAATTACTTCACATGTAATAAAATGGTTTAATATAACTCTTGCCTCTTTACACAGCAACATGTTGCCCTCATTTGACCAGAACAACAACCTGTTTTATGTGCATGACCAAACTGGTTGGTGGAACCTGTACAAGGTCACTACATTGAGCCAGGAAGTGAACCTTACACCAGAGTCCAAGGAGGTTGGCTGGCCCATGTGGCAGTAAGTATTCCCCACTCAACTAGTACATCTCATCTTGTACATTATGGTTCCTCCCCCAACATACAAAATACAAAGATCTTGTGAAAAGTAGCAGTAGAAGGCATCCATCAGTCTCGGGAGACTATGGAGTTTTGCTCTTGGTTGTCGGTCTGGAGAGGCCTCTCCAAGGCACAAAGAACGGGTAGGTTGACATGGATGAAAAGGTTGATAGGTTGAAAAGTAGTGGCTCACAAATACTGTATCTTGTTTTCTATGCAGTGGTAGGTTAGGTTAGGTGGATGGCTGGGGTTTGTGCATATCTGATTAGGTTAGCATTTTGTATCTTGTATGTTGCGACAAATCAAGAGGATGGATTGCTCCTCTTGTGCATTAGTTCAGGAGTAAACCAAGTCTGACCTTGGTTCCAAAATTAACACAATGAAATTAAAAATGAACACATCAACTTAACCAATCTAAGCGTAGCCAAATATATATTAGGCTTAATGTTTTGCATGTTTGTGGCATGTTAGACCTAGGATATTTTTTTATTTTCCTAGATAGGTTTCCTAGGTTGATTTTGATTTCGGAACAGTTTCTGAATGTAGATTATTATCCACGTGCACAAGTTCATATTTTAGACAGTTTATACTCCTCTCAATTGCTATATGTACTATCATTATGGAAAAAAAAAAGTTGGCTAATTTGACAAATTAGTCTGCTTTTGTTAGCAGAACACTCTTGCTCTGAATTGAGAACAGTTTTAATGCCTTTTGGAAACTGTCCTTAATGTATCATCATGATGAAGGTCCATCAAGAGGTCTTTTACTTTTTGTGATAAAAACACTTTACAACTTAATGTTATGCTGATTATTCAGCTACTGTACTGGTAATCAGAGGTTTAAATACTTGGTTAACTCTGTTTATATACAGAAAAATCTTGTTTTTTGGTTTGGTGAATATAATTGCCTGATTTACCACTAGGGCCACTAACCCTAGTGGCCTCGACGAGGACAGGAATATGGCGGTTTGTTGACAGTCCCCCCCCCCCTATTTGCCTTGATCTTTTCCAGGTAGATTTTAAAACTTGGCACAGGTTTGGTATTTACGGCTTTGATGGGTAGGTGGTTCCATAGGTTTATAACCCTGTGGGTGAAAAAGCATCTCCTGTTCTCAGTCCTACATTGTAGCTTGTTGAGCTTGAAACCATTGCTCCTTGTTTGTTACATCTTACCTTTAGAAGAAATACTGACCTGGTATGTCACCTACCAGTAAAGTTTTAACAACAGATATATCTTGTTGTTTTCTTGGAAATATTCTGATTCGAGCTGAACCTGCATTTTTTTTTTTTTCTAAACCTTTCACTTTTCTCCTGATGGTTTCCCAGCTTCCTGTACAGTCCTGCAGGAAGCTGCCATTCAATTTCCCAGCTTCATGTACAGGGAGTCCATCCTCATACCGTATCTTGTTCACCACATGTGAACGGCCACATTCCTCTTAAGAGTTGCAGTTACATCTTTGAATATTAATTAACACTTTGGCATCGTGATGACGTTCATGCAGTTATTATTTATATACATACATACAAGAAGGTGTATTGAATATATGAGAGTACAAAGCATTGATGGTTTTTACATTCTTGTAAAGCCACTAACATGCATAGCGTTTCGGGCAGGTACTTTATCTAATAGATAATTTTAAGTAGGTAATTTGTAGCAAAATTGAAAAATGTTAACAAGTACATTGTAAGAAAATTTGAAGAAAATTACTACAGTAGGTACATTATAGTAAAATTTGAGGAATATCAACAGATACATTATAGCATAATTTGAGGATTATTTCTAGGTATAATGTAGTAAAATTTGCATTCAACATAACATCATGATACAAGATGATAACAGTGATTACAGTGGTGAAGTTGTATGGCTTAGGCACATATTGGGGGAGTGAGTAGCACAAGATGCATTGCGAGTTTGAAGCAGTTGAAGAAATTAGAAAGTGTTAAGCTGTCATGTTCATTAGAGTTACCTGTCTTATAAATAATAACTGAATTACTTATTTTGCACATGAAACCAGCACAGCTATCAAGATAGATTTCTCATAAAAATTTGGTCTTTACAGGAATGAACTTGACCTAATTCGTTGGTTACAAAGTGGGTTACATCAGGTCGGTTAGATTAGGTTACGACATGGTTACATAACATAGCTCGGTAATACTTACTATTGCCAAGTAAGGGAGAATTATGAATTCATCTTGTCCGCTAATTAAAAACTTATTGTTATTTATCTTAAACATTTAATGTCTGGGCAGATTTGGTTGGCGAGCGTATGACATCAATCCACGGACTGAGAAAGAAGTGGTTGCCATTGCTTCCCATGTGAGTACACTAATCTTTGTAGTCCAACTGGTCTTGTATATATAATATATATTATATTATAATATATGTATGTGTATATAAAATATACAGTATAAAAATTAGAGTTTTCGTAAATCAATAAAAAACACAGAAATAATATGACAGTTTTACATTTACATAATTTCATCTTGGAAGTGAAACCTAAACTCTTCTTAAGTGTATCAATCTTTATTAATTCATTTGTGCTATAGATGTAAGAATGTTGATCACTGGTAATGAAACAGGAAAAAAATTAATGTCAATATTAATGTGAGTTTGAGATTTTTCTTACTGGAGTTTGCTTCTGGTAGAATATATTTGGTTTGTTTTCACATTGTCAGGCAGGGCTGTTTTAACAGCACTATGGGGCCCCTAGGCAAACCAATGTGCTGGGGCCCCTACGACAACCACTCACAGGAATAAAAAGTAAATCGTCAACAATATTAAACATATATTTATTTGATTGGCACTGCAACGAAACTGGTGTTGAAACATTAAAAACATGCTGAAGTGCAGCAACTAATCAACATGATAAACATCTGAACAATAAACAAGATTAGAAAACCACAATAATACTCAGTAGGTTACACTGATTAGATGGTGCAGTATGAAATTACTACGAACTGATTATAACAAGCATTTGCAGCATTACTTTTTGGAGAATTGCTTTATTATAGGCTTGAAGTCGATGGTCTTCAGGGTGCCATTTTCCATGCACATGGTTGAAAGCTAGATCAAATAATGCTGCCCCATTGTGCTACGAAGCAGTATTTTTATAAGTTTCAGTCTTGAAAATGAACATTTTCCTGTACAGTTGGTCACCATCATGTACAAGAACAGAGTGCAATTTCAACATTTGGGAATACAGATTTAAAATTGTCCGAAATTATTTTTCTGTACAGTGCAGGGAGAGTCTCGCTCTTTTCATAAAGAGCCATGTTGTGCTCGAGATGCTAACATACATTTAACATTCATTAAAAAGCTCATCATGGGCCTGGTCCATGGTTTAAAGACCTGCCCGAAAAGCTATGCGTGTTAGTGGCTTTACAAAAATGTAAAAACATCAATGTTATGTACTCTCATAAACCCAATGTACCTTCTTGTATATATAGTGTGACGGTAACGCGTTGGTGTTCGGCTGTTTCAAAAGCTAGGGGTATGGCCTCGTCACATAAAGAAACAAAAAGAAAATATGGAACTTTCATCTGTGGTAAGGTAATGGGAAGACACACAAAACACAAGTAAATTTAACAATGAAATTTTAATTACGTTAGAAAAGCAAAACATGAATAAAAATGGACATAAAAGTGTAACATAAGTCAAACAAAATAATAAGAATAATCACTGGCAAAATAAAAAGTTACGTTAAGACAGGTGAGTAATATACAAGGAGATATATGGTTGCAGGAATATTGGCTTTAAGCTGCCACCTCTCTTAGTACACGTAAGCCAGGGCTTAGTCTACAAATGAGTCGTGTTAACTTGTGGAAAGCACGGGATATTCTGAGGGCTGTAGGTCGTGGTGGCTCAGACATCAGGTAGTGTGGCGGGTGAAAGCAGGTGCGACGGCACCAGCCAATCAGCGATGTGCAGGCGACGAACAAGTAGTTTGCTGGTTCGAGAGGCGGAGGTGGAGCAGGTGTTCCTGGTGCTGAATACGTTTGCTCTCGGGGCAAACCTTGGTGTTGTACTTGTTGGATATATCTTCTATATTAGTTGTTATTGTTGTAAGGGACGTACTTATGAGGGAAGAGCAGGCTCAATCTCTCTTGAAGGAGATTATCGTCACAATATAAATAAATAAAATCATAATTAAAGTCTTTGTGATACATATTAGCCAGATGTTCTAAATTTTTCTTTAGTGCATCAGAAGCAATGATTTTCAATTCACTGAAGAAAGAAAATAGATTTCCAATATGTGAATAAGCCTCTGCATGTTTTGTCAGTTCAGATTAGTGTCCAAAATAGGGAAGAAAGTTTCAATCTTGAGTTTTTTGGTTTTACTGAGAAGTACCTCTTCTGCTGATCCATCATATCAACTAAGTCGCACACTTTGTTTTCGTTCCCATTTTTTTCCCATCACTGTAATCTGTATCTGGACACATACTCCTGGGTTTGAATTCATATTCACTAAATTTGTCTCTAGTTTCCTGAAGATAGGTTTTCATAGACTCAAGAAGATTCGTGGCAACAAGACTGTTCACATCCTTTGGTTGCAGGATCTTATTTTTGTCAATTCTTTCTAGCAGGTCATTCCAAAGAATTGTGAGAGAGTGTTTCCTTTTTTTTTTTCTCAATCCTTCTGCCTCTCGCCTTGTATTTACTTGCTGTTCATTATCAGCTGATAGAGAATCCAGTGCATGTTTTATTTTCTTGAAACCTCCATACAGAGCATGAACAGCATAAAAATGTACTGGCCATCGTGTGTCAGACAGATGCTTGACCACAAAATCTTTTCCTAAAGATGGTGTCAATAAATTCCATTGAGTAGAATCAGCAAAAAATGAATACAGATGCTGAACAAAGTCAAAGAAATGGACAGTCTGTAGACAACATTCTGCTGCTTTTACTCCCACCAAGTTCAGGCTGTGTCCAGCACAGGGGACATAGATGGCAAACTCGTCGAGTTGATGAATCGGTGCTTACAATCCAGCAGACATATTTGGTCCAGACATATTTGAGACATTATTGTATGATTGACCATGGCAGTTTGATAGTGGAATTGTGTTCTCATTAAGAAAATCCAAGATAGTGTCAGTCAGATTCTTTGCTACATGAGAAAAGATGGGGATGAACATCAAGACACGTTCCACAGGCTCGCAGCCTTTAAAGTATCGGACAGTCAATGTCAGTTGATCTGTGCGAGAGATGTCTAGAGTGGAATCTACACTTATTGAATAATACTTTGACTTATTTTACTTCAAGAAAGTTCAAAGAACCTGTTGTCCCATTAATTCAATAAATACCTCGCAAATATTTGCAGATAAATATGACGGATTCTTTTCCCAGGATTTCCACACATTTTGAGATGTTCTTCCAAGAAAGGGTCAAATTCACTCGGCAGCTCTAGTATACCTAAATAGTTGCCATTTTTTTGCTGACCTAATAATCTGATTTTCTCTATGAAATTGCAAACCTCTAGAGGCAAGAAAGTGAATTACAGAAACCACCTGTCAACACTTCATGCCAATATTCCTGCTCAGGGTGATGTTGCTCAAGTAATAAAGAATCTACACTTCCAGTTTCTTTGTCTTATCAAATATGCTGTCATGCACTTTTGATGTTCTCCATTTTCATGTTCTGCAATAACATTGGGGTTCAATGGCTGGAAGCAATGTAGCAAAGGGAGAATCTTTCTTGGACAACAGGTGACATACAAAGCAGTACAAACAACCTTAGGATGGTAAATAGAGCAGCCATTCACGTTTTACATACTCGCCATTCCACAGTTCACGTCTGAACACATTGTTTGATAAATACCTTGCCTTCATATTCCTTACTCTTTTATACACTCTGCACGAGTTTGAAGCTTGGTATCATAATTCTGACATGATGAGGGCCCACTATGAATACAATAATCTATTGTGTTAGTATCATTAATGTTCCATAGCCCCGGATCTGTCTCTTGGATTGCAAACTCCTTTACTGTTACAGATTTGGGTATTTCCTCTTGTAAAATGTCACCAGCAGCAGCAACAGGCAATGATGGTATGTCTGCTGAAACTGGATGATTGGTAGCAGGAATGGATGTAGATGTGGATGCTATATCTGAAGGAACAGTACTAGTGGCTGACATTGCAGGAGTGGATGTTGATGTGGATGCTATATCTGAAGGAATGGTATGAGTGGCTGTCGTTGCACCTGTGTTGAGCCACGGTGTTAATTTTAGAAGTTTTCCTATTTTCTCCTCCTTCTGTAGCTCTTCTGTGCTCCACTCAAAGCTTTACTTTTCATTTCTGCTGAAAAGGTTATTCACCTGGAAATATATACAATATATTATATATTTAGTATTTAGTTGTACACCAGGATGTAGGGTTATATAAGTGTGCTTGCAACAAGACCTAAATATTTAAACATTCTACTTCCGTAATGAACATGTCCAATGCTTGTGGGGCCCCTGGGCAAGTGTCCATCGAGCCCATGCAGTAAGACAGCTCTGTCACACTTCAAACATTTCTACCTTCCGTGTTGAGGGAATGAGAATGAATTTAGGAATATACCCATAACATGCAAAATAATTAGGGAGAACATTGACAAACTAAAAAGACTCAAAAGTCCCAAGTGTGGATGGAATCAATGCAAAGTCTTAAAAGGAACTGGCAGAAGAACTATGCCTACTGCTGAAACTACTTTTCACAAAATCTCTGGACCATGGAGTAGTTCCCCTAGATGGGAAATATGCAAATGTCACTTCTATTTAAAAAAAAAAAAAAAAAAATAAAAAAAAAAAAGAGCAGAAAGAGCTTGTCGGAAAACTATCGGCTGATCAGCGTGACATCGCACATCTGCAAGCATATGGAGAGAATCCTCAGGGAGGTAATCATTCACCATCTTTCAGTGAACAATCTTGTACAATTGGCACAACATAGGTTTGTTACAAATAGAGCCTGCCCTACAAACCTGCTCACATTTTTTGGAAACGGTAACCAGTTACTCGAAGGCCTTCTGGTGGATGTAGTATACATGGATTTTGCTGAAGGCTTTGATTAAGTACCACATAAAAGACTGGTAAGGAAATTACAGGCACATGGAATAAATGGTAGATTAGAATGGATAAAACAATGGTTGAAACAAAGAAAACAAAGGGTCGTGCTAAATGGCAACGAATCTGAATGGAGAAATGTGATAAGTGGGTTGCCACAATGGTCTATTTTGGGGCCTATATTTTTTGTCATCAGTGACATAGATGAGAATATTACAAACATCATCAAATTTGCAGATGACACAGATTTATGGTAAAGTGGGAAATGATGATAATATTGAAGCCTTACAAAGAGATTTACAGGAACTCTACATAGGATCAGAAGACTGGCAAATGCTTTTAATATTGACAAATACAAGACCCTGCATGTGGGGCATAACAACCCATGCCATAACTACCAAATTAATAACATTACATTACAGTAGATTGATGAAGAAAATGACATTGTAGTCAAAATCCACCACTTGCTAAAAGTTGCATAACAGGTGGGAGCAGCAGTCAGAAAAGCTGATCGAACTCTTGGGATACTCAAGCATGCCTTTGACTATAAGGAAAAGAAGGTAATGATTTAAATGTATAAATCTTTGGTGCATCCCCACTTAGATTACTGTATCCAAGCATGTAGACTAGGCATGACAGGGCAGATCTCATTGAAACTTTTAATATGCTGAACAAGTTTGAGAACGTTGATCCGGACAATTTCTTCAAAAACTCGGGTGTAACACAAGCAAGGTTTCAAGCTCAAGTTACAATGTAGAACTGAGAACAGGAGATGCTTTTTCACCCACAGGGTTATAAACCCATGGAACTGCCTACCCACTGAAGCTGTAAATGCCAAAACTGTGTAAAGTTTTAAAATCTACCTGGAAAAGATCAGGGCAAATGGGGGGGGGGGGGGGTCTTCATATAAAGTTACTGGCTTCCTGTCCTTGTTGAGGCCACTAAGGTTAGTGGCCCTCGGGTAAATCGGGTATTCAGGCTTGTATCAAGATTCCCCCTTCCCCTCCCCAAAGGTTAAACCTTTCCCAGGATGTAACCCTACAACAGTTGACTAACTCTCAAGTACTGTATCTGTTTACTGCCAGGCGAAAGGAATCACCCCTAACCATTTCTATTCGTGGAATTTGAACCTAGGATTCCTGATTGCAAGACGAGAATGAACCCAACTGTTTTACTGAGACCCACAGTGGTAAAACACATGAAGGTAGTAAAGTATACACAGGTGGCAAAGTACAGTATACACTGATTAAATAATAGATGAAATATGCAATAAAATAAAAAAAATCTTTATGGAAGGCAAGGCAAGAAAAAATGAAGACGGTATTGATTGTAGAGAAAGTGTAGTAGCTATAAGTACTGTCTCCACTGAATAAAAACCATTGGTAGAAGAAAAGATGCCTGATCCCTGTATCTAGAATCCCATCCTGGTACAGACAGTCTTCAATATTTACTAAAAATTTGTTTAATAATAATAATAATTTAGGAAAAGTACATACATAGTTGCAGAGTTACAGTACTGTACAAACATTGTTTGATTTAAAGATAGAGGTAGTACATACAATACCTAAAGCCACTAGTACGCTAGTGGCGTACTACTTTTTTTAAATATAAATGTGAAAAATGTTGGACATTTGTAGGTGATGTTATGTATTTTATGAATTATATAACACTCAATCAGGTTATCCAGATTAAACAACTCAATGTTACTATTTTTTCTTTTGTTTCAAGAATTGAAAGGACCCAAATAGTGTGTTTACATCCATAAATTATTACTGTGTTCATATAAAAGAAAGTTGTTGGCATGTTTGTATCCGCAGGAGCTGCTAGTAATCGACCTGGTGAGCCAGGAGAGGAGGGTCCTTGACACGGGCTACTCTGTCCACACACGAGGGGTTGTGTATTCTAACGATGGCACGCAGGTAATTGGTCCACCCATGACCTGGAGTCTACCCGCTCCAGGGTAGTTTTATCCATGACTATCGTTTGACTCTAACATGCCCAGAAATTTATCAAAATATCTGCTGAATAATACTTGCATTGACCTTCATTATTCGCATACAGTATTCAGTATTTCAGAATATACTGTATAGGAGAAAAAACCAAACTGTATTGGAGGGGGTTTTAAACATCCCTTCTAATGTATTGTGCTTTCCTCTGAGGCTAAGGGTCCTCCTTCTTCCAGCCAGAGGTGGTGCTCACTTCCATATTTAAAAAAAAAAAATCAGAATATGAATATGTTTGAGTGTGTGTACTTGCCTAATTGTACTTTCTGAACTGTTCTCAGGAAGTGATAATCAGCTGCTGAAACCTTCATTTTAACTTGATTAACTAGTGAGGTCTTTCAAACCCCTTGTATACTCCACTTTTGTATACTCCAAACCATCTTTTCAGATTTACATTAAATATGTGTATAGAATTTGTCTCCATTTCTTCCTCGGTTTCACTTGTCCTTGTCTCACCCCCCTTGTCACCTAGTCTTAGTTTTACTCCTAGTTCTCCGATCCTTGCATCCCCCTCGTCCTAGTCACTACTCTCGTGTGCCCTCTTCCTAGTTTTCCCTGTGTGTCCTCTCATTTTGATCTTGCCCATTGTCCCCTCTTCCTGGTCCCTACATTTGTACCCCCTCCCCTCTTCTTGGGTTGCCACATTTTTGCCTTTTTTTTCTCGGGGTCCCTACGTCTGTCTCAGTGATATGTCAGGTATCTTGATTATTACCTCTATTTTTACCTCATGTCTTACTTTTTAACTTTTATTAAAAAGGAACTTTACTAAAAGTAAAGTTCCCTTTTACGTTATTTCCTCATAAGTATTTTTCTTCATCTTGACACTCTCACTAAAGGTGTATGTTGTGGCTGGAGATGGGAGTCGGGCACCACGGCTGATCCAGGTACATGTGGCCTCCGGGAAGGTAGAGGTAGTAAACGAGGTCCCGGAGTCTCCTGTCCATCCCGGATACATCAGCATCCCGACACACATCCGCTTCCCTACAACATACGATGGTTTTGCTTATGGATATCTTTACCTGCCCAAGGTAAGCAAAGGTAACCTGGTTTCCATTTTTACCCCTCTGTGGGAGTTAAATATATCTATTATTTTCATGTTTTCCATATTTACCTGAATTTACCCGAAGGCCACTAATACTAGTGGCCTTGAGGACAGGAAGACGGCAGCTTGGCAAAGGTTTCCCCGTTTGACCTGATGATCTTTTCCAGTTATATTTCAAAAACATATCAAGTTTTTGAACAAGTTTTTTTAAACATTTCAAGTTCAAGTATTTCAAAACCCAACAGAGTTTTGGCATTTACAGCTTCGGCGGGTAGGCAGTTCCATGGGTTTATAAACCTATTGGTGAAAAAGCATCTCCGGTTCTCAGTCTTACATTGTGGCTTGTTGAGCTTGAAACCATTCCTCCTTGTTCATGTTACATCTGAGCTTCTGAAGAAATTGTCCAGATCAACTAATAATAATAATAATAATAATAATTTATTTAGGAACAGTACATACATAGTTGCAGTGTTACAGTACAAACATTCTGTTAGATTTAAAGATAGAGGTAGTACATACAGTACCTAAAGCCACTAGTACGCATAGCGTTTCGGGCAAGGTGAGGTGGGGAAAAAAACCCACTTAGACTAAAACTTAATAGTAATTGAGCTTAAAGTATAAATTGTGTTGAATGAAAAAAAAAAAATAATAAAAGATAAAAAAAAAAGGGGGGAACATGGTAGAAAATAGCCAATATACAAGTTGGTCAACAAACAGCATTTTTTTTTAATAGTAAAACATGGATTGACATTTAGAAGTAAGGTAGGTTACATGGAGTTAATTAGGTAGTACTTGGTTTTCATCTTAAACTGGTTGAGAGAGGTACAATCTTTGACATAATTGTGAAGGTCATTCCACATTCAGGGTCCCTTGATTTGTAGAGTATTCCTAATTTGATTAAGTCTAACTCTTGGAATATCAAATAGGTATTTGTTTCTGGTGTGGTGCCCATGAGTTCTGTTACAACCTTCTAGGAAGCATTGAAGGTCAGGATTGACATTACAATTCAGAGTTTTAAATATATAGAGTACACAAGAGAGGATGTGCAGTGACTTAATATCTAACATATTCAGAGATTTGAGTAAGGGTACCGAGTGCTGTCTGGGGCCAGAGTTAGATATTGTTCTAATAGCAGCTTTGTGTTGGGTAATTAGAGGACATAAATGATTTTGGGTAGTAGAACCCCAAGCACAAATACCATAGTTGAGATAAGGATAGATGAGAGAGTAATAGAGCGTCACCAGGGCAGGGCGAGGAACATAATATCTGATCTTAGAAAGAATGCCAACAGTTTTAGAAACTTTTTTTGCTATATTTAGAATGTGTCCCTGGAAATTCAGCTTGTTATCGATGAGGACACCAAGGAATTTACCATCAACTTTACTACTGATTTGTATATTGTTTATTCTTAAATTAATTTCATTTGAGGATTTATTACCAAACAAAATATAGAAAGTTTTGTCAATGTTAAGGGTGAGTTTGTTAGCAGTTAGCCAAAGATGGACTTTATTTAGTTCAGTATTCACAGTGACATTTAGAGCAAGAGGGTCAGGACTGGAGAAGATGAAAGTTGTGTCATCAGCAAATAAGATTGGTTTGAGGTGTTGAGAGGCATTTGGAAGTCATTAATGTAGATGAGAAAGAGGAGAGGGCCAAGTATGCTGCCCTGTGGAACAGCAATGTTTATTTGTAGTGTCGGAGAAATGGAATTATTCACATAAACATACTGGAGCCTGTCAGTAATGTAGGACTGAAGGTATTGCAGGGAGTGATGTCTGACTCCATAATGATGTAATTTAAGAAGAAGGTTTTGGTGGTTGACAGTGTCAAAAACCTTATGTAGGTCCACAAATATCCCAACAGGGAACTCATTTTTATCAAGAGCTGCATGAATCAAGATAACCATACTAATAAGTGCATCGTTAGTGCTTTTTTTTGGTCTGACAAGAGCTTAGTATATTGTGTTTGGCTAGATAAGAGTAAAGCTGCTTGTAGATTAGTTTATCAAATATTTTTGACAAGTTTGGCAGAATTTATATAGGTCTGAAGTTGTTGACATCAGTGAGATCACCACATTTGTGGACTGTGGTTACTCATGCTTTTTTTTAGAATATCTAGTAAAGTTTGGAGTTTAGGTGACTTGTTGTAGAGCAATGCAATGCCAGGGGCTAAAGATCTGGAGGCTTTTTTGTAAATTAGAGTTGGTATCTCCGCAAGGGCACTAGACTTGGTCTGAAGGAAAAGGATTACCTCATTTACATCAGTGGAATTAGCGGGTGTCAGGTACAGAGACTGGGTAGTTACCTGTAAGATAGTCATGAGCATTAGTAATGGAAGATGGAATATCATTAGCAGGGGATGACCCAATGGATGAGAAGAACCTATTGAATTCAATAGCAGTATCAGAGGCTGAAAGCAGACCATCGATATTTGAGAGAATTATTGGTTTGTTATTTAAAATCTTGTTTTGATCCCAATATTTGTGAAATTGTGCTCCATGTTTTCTTGATGTTACCCTTTGTTTGAGTAAATTTATCTTCGTAGTATTTAATTTTGGCTCTTCTAATTATTTTTAGATAGTAATGATGAGTAATTCTTTGAAAGTTCTTTGGAGATGATACCTAACCTATACTTCTCAAGTTCATGCCTATTGAGCTGAGATATAGCTCCTGGATTCTGTACATTCTGTTCATTGTCACTCCGGTTTTGTGCCTGTTTGTCTTCCGAGATATATGGGGTTAGATCTACCTGGCTGAATGGAGGACATAGTCCTCCATCAATTAAATATAATGGGAGTAATGGATATATTGTAGCAGATATGTTGTAGAATATATTGTAATGCCAAGAAATTATTGGACTTTACCAGGTGGAATTTTGCTTGTAAGGGTTTGATAAGATCTTGCAGAAAATTAAGAGTCAAGTGTTTATGAAGGGAAAACGAGGGCAAATGTGAGGTGGGGGTTAGGTCGGGTGAGATGAGGACAAATTGAGAGATGTTGTATTGCAATTAATATTTCTGAAGTGTTAATTTAGCAAGAGAGGTAAAAAGAATCGGCTTGAGAATGGTCCAGGACGGACCAAAACGTTGTCGTCCCTTCACTTTCTAGTGTGTGGTCTGGTCAACAATCAAAGTAAAAAGAACTTCTTTTGCTATTGTGTTCGGTGGTGATGCAGTGTTTGATAGTCAGACTGTTGTCCTAATGTTTTCTTGATGGATGAGTTCAGGGATCCTTAAGTTCATGAGGCAGTGTTCTGGGTAGGGTCACTCGGGGAACTTCAGTGCCCTTGAGAAAATTAAGTGCCCCCCTAAGTCATTGCTACTCTAACTCATTCTAAGCAAAATAAAGAAATAAAATGTTGTTTTATATATAATGTGCATGAGATATGTGGCATCACCATGAGGTCAAAATGGTTATTCAGGTACAGGTGTTAGATCCTATTGGTTGTTTGGGTGTGAATGGGACATAGTGGTAAAGCACTTGCATGGCACCTTGCGAGCGCTTTGGCCTGGGTTCATACCCTGGCCAGGGTGGATTGACCGGGCACCAATCCTTAACTGTAGTTTCTGTTCACCCAGCAGTGAATGGGTACCTGGTTCTTAAACGGTTTGGTGGGCTGTATTTCAGGGAAAATTAGGATTAAGGACCTATCCAAAATGTTACGTGTGCTAGTGGTTTTACAAGAATGTAAGAACTCTTTGTGTGTGTGTAATTACCTAAGTGTAATTACCTAAGTGTAGTTACAGGATGAGAGCTACGCTCGTGGTGTCCCGTCTTCCCAGCACTCTTTGTCATATAACGCTTTGAAACTACTGACGGTCTTGGCCTCCACCACCTTCTCACTTAACTTGTTCCAACCGTCTACCACTCTATTTGCGAAGGTGAATTTTCTTATATTTCTTCGGCATCTGTGTTTAGCTAGTTTAAATCTATGACCTCTTGTTCTTGAAGTTGTGTGTGTGTGTGTGTGTGTGTGTGTGTGTTATTTTTTTTATATATATATATATATTAATATATATATAATATATAAATAAAATAAAATTCAAAATATGATGGCCATACTGATAATAATAAATCCTTGCATCTCGGCTGATAATTTGAAGTATGTACCCTCTGCTGTGGTGACGTAATAGTTGTCCTTGGGAATGTGCTTAAGAATAGCCAGCCATCCAAGAGCATGAGCTCCATAGCTAGCTGTCCCTAAAACATGAGCCAGAGAATAACTAGCTGCCCCTAATCATAAGATTGCCTGTTACCTAAGTTGGGTAAATTTCATTTCACCTGATTCCACTCTTTACTTGGCAATTGCTGTCTCCAACAGTGAGAATTGGTATATTAACTCCTATTTAACCTTCAACAGAACAAGGACTTCAGTGCCCCTGAAGGTACCAAGCCACCCTTACTTGTGAGGGTCCACGGAGGCCCTACAGGTGCTGTCACCTCTGTACTGAACTTCGCCTACCAGTTCTTCACCTCTAGGGGGTTTGCCCTCCTCGACGTCAACTACCGAGGGAGTACCGGTTATGGGACATCCTACCGTAACGAGCTCAATGGGAAGTAGGTGACTGAATGCAATGTAGACATTTACTTAGGGCAGCAATCAAAGCAATTTGAATTGAGATTTAATAAAAACTGATTAAAAATTTCAGGACTGATATAATTTGTATTGCCCATCAGGTGAGAAATCTATACAACATTGGTACAGTACTGCCCATCAGGTGAGAAATCTTTACAACTATGGTACTGCCCATTAGATGGGGGTATATATACTACATGGGCACTGCCCTTCAGGTGGGGGATACTGGATGTAGACGACGTGCTGGCTGGTGCAAACTACCTGATGAAGGAGAATTTAGTGGACCCCAACAAGATGTGTGTTGATGGAGGCTCAGCCGGGGGGTTCACCACTCTGCTGGTGCTCATGGCTCATGATTCACCTTTTACAGCAGGTGAGAGGCAGCCCTAGCAAAGGCTGAAGACCATTGAGAGACAAGTCTGGGTAGTACTGTACTTCTGGTTGAGGTAGTTTTGAGGTCGTGTGCCTGGGGAGTCCAGGGGTGCGGGTTCAATCCCCATGTATAGCCTCGATATTTTCTCATATACTGTACATGTCTTGGTCTTGTGCTATAATGTGAGGACATTACAAGTAAGCAACACTGCTGTAAACTTATTGACTTTCTCTGAGGCTTGGTGCCTTCTTTTAATAATTACAGTCACCCATCTAGACCTTACTCCTCTAAACCTTACTGATCTATTCATGGTAGGTTCTATTTAAATCCTATTAAATTCAGACTTCTCTGTCCTATTTTTAGAGTTATTCAGTTCATCTCGGTAATGTTAGCCGGTAATTTCACTAATCTATATCCCTATTATAAAGCCAGTATTTACCTTTGTCCCAAATAATTAACATACAATATATAGGGATATATAAGTATTGGTTTAACAATAGGGTTGTAAGCAACTTAAATTATACTCCCCGCGCCTCCCTGGCACTAAGACCCATGCTCGCTTGCACTCTCCACTCTAAGCTGTATTACAGACCTCCACCTACAGGCAGCTAAGTACATGGAGTCAAGCATGTCTCGACTCCATGCTTGAGTTGCCTGAAAGTCCACATGACCCAGCACATTTAAACATAAATGACTACAATAGGTTAGGCAAGGAAATTCAACAGGAGAAACAGCTTTTGTCAGCACAGATGGAGGAAGTTACACAGGGAATAGAACAGTGCAAGAAAGATATGCAACTCACTTATGCACAAGTGGCCAAGGAGAAGGAAAAAATAGAAGCAGTAAAGGAAGTCAAACACTGCAGCAACCAAGATAAAACAAACATTAGGCTAGAAGTGAGGAAAGAATTGGCATCTAACCCGAAGTTGGTGCAAAACACAGTTGATCGGAGTAAGTCCCTGATCATTTTTGGCTGCAAAGAAAAGGCGATAACATCTAGGTCAGAAAGAGCTGTAGAAGAAGCTAAAGTAGTAGATAAAATTGTTGGCCTCGTGGAAGGTCTTACAAACAGAGAGAATGTGTGCGACTACAGGAGAATAGGCAGGTACGTAAAAGGGAAAGATCGACCTTTGAGGATCACCCTAAACGGTGCCAAACAGATGGAAGAAGTACTAAGGAATGCTAGAAAATTGCAAAGGGATGAGGATGGGAAAGGGTGGTCGTTAAGACGAGATCTTTCAAAAGAAGATAGAGAGAAGCTGAAACTGAACCTCGCCGAGGCAAAACATTTAAATGAGAGCAGGAATGAAGAAGAAATAAATTCTTTTTTCTACAAAGTGATAGGGGTAGGCAAACCAGTAAAGTGGTACATAAAGGCAAACCAACAAAATCAATAGAGAGAGGGGGAGTGAAGAATAAGGAAAGGGGGAACAAGTTCCTGAAGATTGCATACACCAACATAGATGGAGCGAGATCGAAGATACTGGAGTTAAGTGATGTAATACAGCTGCAGACACCAGACATTGTTGCACTCACGGAGACAAAACTTGAAGATGTAATTTTAAATGAGATCATATTCCCAAGGGGCTACTCAATTTGGAGACGGGACAGAAAAATTAGGAAAGGCGGTGGCGTTGCTGTGCTGGTAAAAGAACACCTAAAGGTGAAGGAAATAATGACTGCCAATCCACAAGAAGTTGACATAATAGCACTAGAGATCTGCTATGAGGATGATAAACTAATGATGATAAATGCATATAGTCCACCGCCAAGCAGCACATGGTCAAAGGAGGAGCTAGATAGTAAACGTGAAGGTCTTATAACAATAATGAGAGAGATTATAGCGAGAGCGGATAACGATAGATCACGACTGTTGATAGTCGGTGACTTCAACTTGAAATCCATAGACTGGGAAGCATATGAAGCTAAAACAGAAGATTTTTGGACCTGTAAATTTGTAGACCTCATCCTGGAAACATTCTTGTATCAACATGTTAAACAAGCTACGAGGATGAGGGAAGGGGACGTTCCCTCCATGCTAGATTTGATATTTACCAGGAAGGAGGAAGAGATATTTGACATTCAGTACCTTCCTCCCTTGGGTAAAAGTGACCATGTCTTTTTGGGAATAAAGTATGCAATGCGTTATAAGCTGGAAGAAAATAAGGAGGTTGAAGCAGTTGAAAAACCAGACTTCAGGAGAGGACATTATGGTGACCTTAGAAATTTTTTTAATGAGTATAATTGGACAGACTTGATGCTAGGAAAGGAAGTGAATGAGATGTATGGCAAGTTTTGTGAAATATATGATAAAGGCACAAAAAAATTTATACCAAAACAGAGATGCAGAACTAGGAAACAGGATTGGTTCAATAGAAATTGCGAGAGGGCTAGAGACCGAAAGACACAAAAATGGAATCAATACAGGAAGAGGCCGAACCCCCAAACATACCAGCGATACAAAGATGCGAGAAACAACTACACGGCAGTGAGGAGAGAGGCAGAAAGAAATTTTGAAAAAGGGATTGCGGACAAATGTAAAACAGAACCAGGTCTATTCTATAAATTCATAAACAACAAATTGCAGGTAAAGGATAATATTCAGAGGTTGAAAATGGGAAATAGATTCACGGAAGATGAAAAGGAAATGTGTGAAACACTAAACGAAAAGTTCCAAAGTGTGTTTGTACAAAATGAAATCTTTAGGGAACCAGATACAATAAGAATTCCAGAGAACAACATAGAACACATAGAGGTGTCTAGAGACGAAGTGGAAAAAATGCTCAAAGAGCTCGGTAAGAACAAAGCAGCTGGCCCAGATGGCGTTTCACCATGGGTTCTGAGAGAATGTGCATCTGAGCTCAGCATTCCACTTCACCTGATCTTTCAGGCATCCCTGTGTACAGGAATCGTAGCAGACGGGTGGAAACAGGCTAACATAGTTCCAATCTACAAAAGTGGCAGCAGGGAAGACCCCCTCAATTATAGACCTGTATCATTGACAAGTGTAATAGTGAAAGTATTGGAAAAACTAATCAAAACTAAATGGGTAGAACACCTAGAGAGAAATGATATAATATCAGACAGACAGTATGGTTTTCGATCTGGAAGATCCTGTGTATCGAATTTACTAAGTTTCTATGATCGAGCCACAGAGATATTACAGGAAAGAGATGGTTGGGTTGACTGCATCTATCTGGACCTAAAAAAGGCTTTCGACAGAGTTCCACATAAGAGGTTGTTCTGGAAACTGGAAAATATTGGAGGGGTGACAGGTAAGCTTCTATCATGGATGAAAAATTTTCTGACTGATAGAAAAATGAGGGCAGTAATCAGAGACAATGTATCAGAATGGAGAAATGTCACAAGTGGAGTACCACAGGGTTCAGTTCTTGCACCAGTGATGTTTATTGTGTACATAAATGATCTACCAGTTGGTATACAGAATTATGTGAACATGTTTGCTGATGATGCTAAGATAATAGGAAGGATAAGAAATTTAGATGACTGTCATGCCCTTCAAAAAGACCTGGACAAAATAAGTATATGGAGCACCACTTGGCAAATGGAATTTAATGTTAATAAATGTCATGTTATGGAATGTGGAATAGGAGAACATAGACCCCACACAACCTATATATTATGTGAGAAATCTTTAAAGAATTCTGATAAAGAAAGAGATCTAGGAGTGGTTCAACTATCACCTGAGGACCACATAAAGAATATTGTGCAAGGAGCCTATGCTATGCTTTCTAACTTCAGAATTGCATTTAAATACATGGATGGCGATATACTAAAGAAATTGTTCATGACTTTTGTTAGGCCAAAGCTAGAATATGCAGCTGTTGTGTGGTGCCCATATCTTAAGAAGCACATCAACAAACTGGAAAAGGTGCAAAGACATGCTACTAAGTGGCTCCCAGAACTGAAGGGCAAGAGCTACGAGGAGAGGTTAGAAGCATTAAATATGCCAAAGCTAGAAGACAGAAGAAAAAGAGGTGATATGATCACTACATACAAAATAGTAACAGGAATTGATAAAATCGACAGGGAAGACTTCCTGAGACCTGGAATTTCAAGAACAAGAGGTCATAGATTTAAACTAGCTAAACACAGATGCCGAAGAAATATAAGAAAATTCACCTTCGCAAATAGTGGTAGACGGTTGGAACAAGTTAAGTGAGAAGGTGGTGGAGGCCAAGACCGTCAGTAGTTTCAAAGCGTTATATGACAAAGAGTGCTGGGAAGACGGGACACCACGAGCGTAGCTCTCATCCTGTAACTACACTTAGGTAATTACACTTAGGTAATTACATGCCGAAAGTCCAATGTGCATGACCTAAAAGATATTGACGGGTATAACCATGTCTGTATCTCCCCAGACTACACAGTTGAATAGCAAAAAATGACAGAGTACTAAGAGGAAAGCTAAAGGAGTTAAGGAACTTGGAAGCATACAAAGATTCAAAGCTAGTGATCAGGAGAAGACGGGGTCATCAAAATAGTAGATGGAGGTGAGGATGTAGTTCTCCACCCAGCCAGGCAGAACTAACCCTATATATCTCGGAAGATGAACAGGCACAAAACTGACGAACAAACAATGACAACAAACAGCATAATAATGTACAGAATCTAAGAGCTATCACTCAGCCCAATAAGAACAACACAAGAAATTTAAAGTGCTTCTACAATAATGCCAGATGCCTGGTGAATATATTTAAAGCACTGTGTGCATATGGTGATGCCAACACTCGAGACATCATTAGCATAAGTGAAACGTAGGTATGAGAGGACATTATTGAAGGGGAATTCCTCCTCCCAGGGTATCATCCACCGTTTAGCAAGAACAGAACATCAAGAGCAGGTGGTGTACTGCCTTATGTGAAAGAAGACCCGATTGCAACCTCCAATGAGGAACTGAACACCATGGGCTCCTCATTCTGTATGGTGCAATATACTATGCTCTTGTAGCAATTTCTTCTTGTTTGCCAACATGGTAA